GACCCCCAAGTGGATGCCATGCACACGGGACCTGATAGAGATAACCTTACAGCCGGGAGAGAAGGGGGAGACCACTATCAGAGTGCAGTGTGGGTTGACAGAATCAGAAGACTATGATATCCTACTAGGAATGGAGTTGTTGTTCAAGATAGGCACCACTATCTGTACCTGGCAGGAGCAGGTGCTCTACCGTTGGGACTTTTGGGAGGAAGGGAAGGAGCTGAGTGAACTACCAGTACGGTTTGTTAAGACAGAACCCAAGAAGGCGTGGAGAGCAGAAGGACTGAGGAAGAACAGTAGGAGGGGAGGAAGTGTGGGGAAGAGCAATGGCAGCGCTCACCTGGATCAGTATAGTATTACACTAGTGGAGCTGTTCGGGGGAATAGGAGCGGGCTTGGCAGCAGCCTTGGAAGCAGGCCTGAGGGTGAAGAAGTGGGTATACGTAGAATTGGACCCAGAGGTGAGGAGAATGGCATGGAAGCATGCTCAAATGTTACAGCAGCAGTACCCCGCGCAGCTGACGAAAGAAGTACTACGGGAGGCCATGCAGAACAAGAAATGGGACGTGGGGCAGCTCACGAAAGAAGACGTGAGCAGCTGGGGTAAAGTGGATTTGTTAGTGGCGGGATGGGAGTGTCAGGGTACTTCTAGGGCCGGAAAGGGGAAAGGCTTACAGGACGAGCGCACGGGGATGGTGACCAAGCTACTCACCATAATGAAGTGGACGAGTGAAGTGAATGGAGAATATGCTTACATCCTGGAGCATGTGGATATGAGGAATGACGTACGCGAGCCGGTCAGGGCAGTAAGGGAGCTGGTGGAGGCAGAACTGGGGAGAGGAGTGAGCTGTGATGGGGCACAGTTGGGGGCACGCTGTCATAGGGTGCGGCAGTACTGGCAAAACGTCTTACCAGACGGGGAACTGAGGGCAAGACTAGCAAGAGTGGAGAGGGACGAAAGCAGGATAGTAGAGGATATTTTAGAACCAGGGAGGGTGGCGGCCCCAGTGGTAAAACCAGATCATCCGCGGCAGTACCAGTGCAACCGGGTGGGGGAAGCTCGCAGGGCATGGCCTACATTAGTGGCATACACCAGGGCACAAGGTTTCATCGAGGTGGACGGAATACCAGGACCAGGGATGGTGTACGATCACCGGAAGAAGAAGTGGGAGGAACCGACGGCTTTGGAGCGGGAGTTAGCCATGGGATACTTGCCAGGAGCAACCGCAGCAGAAGGGGTAGAGGAAGGGATGCGCAGAGCAGCTTTAGGAAGAGCCATAGACCAGCACTCGCTGAGATGGTTAATCAAAGAGATGAGAAAGGGGGCAGCTGATAAAGGAGGAGAGACCGGAAAAAGGCAAGGACAAGGAGAGAAGCAGGCGGCGTATGCAGCTGTTGAGCAGGGCACGGGAGGAAAGGAGAATGTTGCGGCACTAGCAGGGGGCAAAGAAGCTGAGCAGGGTAAGGAATGGAAGCTAGGTACAGACATCAAGAAGCAGACGGCAGAAGCAATCAGAGAGGTGCTGCACCAGCACAGGAGCACTTTCGCCTATAACCTGCAGGAATTGGGGAGGTACAAGGGAAGAGAGCTGGAGCTAAACCTTACCACAGAGATACCCACTTACCAACGAAGAAGGAGAATGAATGCAGAGGATGCGGCTATCTGCAAGGAGAAGTGTGAGGAGCTGCTAGCAGCAGGGATTATCCGCCCGTCCGAGTCAAGCTACGCAGCAGCCACAGTGGTAGCTGCCAGGAAGGATATCACGGGTAAAGTGCTGGCGAAAAGGATGTGTGGAGATTTTCGGGAGCTGAACAAGATTACCAGCCCGGACAGGTACCCCATGCCAACAGCAGAAGACATCTTTGATCGCTTAGAAGGTGCCATCATCTTCACCACCTTGGACCTGCGACAGGGGTTCAACCAGATAGCCATCAGGGAGGAAGACAAACGGAAAACGGCGTTTCACGGGGTGGATGGGCTGTATGAGTACAATGTGATGCCCTTCGGGATACGCAACGCCCCTGCAGTGTTCCAGCGGGCCATGGATCAGGTGCTGAAGGGGATTCCAGCAGCAGCCTGCTACATAGATGATATACTGATTTTCAGCAGCAGTGAAGAGCAGCACGTGCAAGATCTGAAGCAGACGCTAGAGGCTATAACAGCTGCGGGTCTGACGTGCCATCCAGACAAGTGCAAGATAGCAAGGCAGACCGTGGCTTACCTGGGCTTTGAAGTGAAAGGGGGTCGGCTGGCGATACAGGAAGCAAAAGTTAAGGTGCTGGAGAACCTGGCAGCACCAAAGGATAAGACCGGGCTGCGGGCGTTACTCGGCGTTATTACAGGAAGTTCGTACCGAACTTCAGCCGCCGAGCCTACATACTGAATCAGCTGCTGAAAGAAGGGAGGAGCTGGCAGTGGGGAGAGCTGGAGGAAACGGCAAGGCAGGACCTGTTAGAAGCAGTACGAACGGGAACGCTGCTGCAGATACCGAGGGCAGATGCCCCTTTCATCTTATACACCGACTGGAGCAGCACAGGAATGGGGGCAGTACTCTGCCAAGAGATAGAAGGAGAGGAGAGAGTGGTAGCCTTCGCCAGCCGCAGCTGCAGCCCATTCGAGGCTAACTACTGCTCTTACGAGGGGGAGGGCCTGACAGCTGTATGGGGGATCACTCACTTCAAGGTGTACCTGCAGGGTCGGCGCTTCACACTTGTGACTGATCACCAGCCGTTGCTATGGTTGATGACTCATCAGGAGCTGACGGGAAGAAACGCTCGCTGGGCCATTAAGCTGCTGGGATTCGACTTTGAGATCCGACACTGGCCTGGGAAAACGCTGCAGCACGCAGATGGGTTATCAAGGAATCCGCCACCAATGCAGCCGGTTGCGCAGCTGGCAGCCCTGGCTCAAGTAGCAGCGATACCCTGGGGGCAGGAGAAAGGAAAGAAGCGGTTAGGGGATATATGGGAGGATGAGGAGACCCTGAGCTGGATCAAAGGGGAGCCACTAGAAGAGGAAGGAGTGAGCGAGAGAGCCAGGGCCCGAGGGCAGCATTTCAGGTGGTTTCAAGAACAGCTGCAGCTGAGAACCAACGAAGGGTGGAAGGTGGTGCCTCAACCACAGGAGAGAGCCAAGATTATGGGGAATGTGCACGCGAAGCTGGGGCACTTCGGCATAACCAGAACACGGCAGCTGCTGAGCACCATGTACTGGTGGGTGAGCATGGGAAAGAATGTGGCAGGATTAGTGGCGAGCTGCGAGGCATGTCAGAGGAATAAAGCAAGGCTAGAGAAAGAGAGAGATGAGCTGCATTCTTTACCAATTCGCGGGTTGGGCTACAGGTGGTCGTTGGACCTCGCAGGAGAGCTGCCACTATCGAAAGGAGGGAAGCAGTACATTCTGGTGATGGTTGAGCACACGAGTAAATGGGTGGAGGCGCGAGCGTTACCAAGCAAGAACAGCGCACAGATAGCTGACGCTTTTGAGGAGCTGGTGCTCACCAGGTATGGGGCATGCGGGGAGATACTCACTGATCAAGGGACGGAATTTCAAGGGAGCTTCGACGAGCTGCTGGAAGAGATGGGTATCACGCACAGGGTCACCTCTAGGTACCATCCTCAATCAGACGGACTGACTGAGAGGCTCATACAGACCTTGAAGAAAGGACTACGGGCCTACAGTGAGTCCCACAAAAGGAGTTGGGACCGAGATCTCTGGTGGGTGCTGGCGGGGTACAGGTTCGCAAAGCAGGCGGCTCTGAGAAACCTATCCCCATACCACTTACTGTTCGGGCGGGATCCTGTGCTGCCGGTCGATGCTCCGAAGCTGCTTTCTGCGGTTATAGAGGCAGATGAGCCAAACATGTGGGCGGAGTTAGCCCAGAGGAGAGCAAAGTATTTGAAGGAGCTGACTCCGGCAGCTCTGGACAACCTCCAAGTGGCGCAGCTGCGTGACGCAAGACGATACCAGCAGCGTAAAGCATCAGGGATAGGGGGAAAGGGTGATAAGGTGGAGGCAGGGCAGGAGGTATACCTTCGCAAAGCTAAGCGCGACACGCTGGACTTAGCGGTGGGATCGGAGCGATGGAAGGTGAAAGAGATACGAGGCTCGGGAGTGTTAGTGCTGGAAGATATTCGAGGGGGACTCATCAAGGAACACATCACCAACGTGGCCAGGGCGGGACAAGGGAAGCCTCAGGCAGTGGGTCCCGTGACTCAAGCGGCAAAGATGGGCGCTGAGACACGGGAGGGGGCAGGGAAGCCTGAGGTACCAGGAGGAGTGCAGGACAGAGTGATTACATACGCCAGGAGGAAGAAGGGATGAACCTGATCAGCAGTACGGGTGGCAGGGAAGGAAGGAGAGAAGGAGAAGTCAGCAGGATACACAGGGGAGAAAGGGAATGAGGGTGGACAGAGGAAGATTCACGACAGCTGTCGCGTTATTAACACTTAGCTGGCAACTAAGTGTGAATATCACAGCAGCCAAGGTGAGGGTATACTATAGTTTACCGCTTTTGTACTCTAATTTCATTTGTGTGCTTGGAGTGTATTGTACTGTACTGCAGAGCCGAGTAGCTGGGGAATTTGAGGTGGTTAGTGGGAGGCGAATTCAAGGAGGTTGGTGGAGACGAATTCAATTCCAGCCTGTGAATTCAATTTCGAAGTCACCAGGCTGGAAGGCGAATTCAATGCCAGCCTGGGAATTGAATTCGAAGTCACCAGGCTGGAAGGCAGTGCATGCCTAGTGGGCCCAGTGGGAACACAGCTAGCACCTTGGAGACATCGCGAGCAGCCCGGCTGACTCGCTTGGTGCACAGGAGCTTGCTTGTGGAGGAAGCAACCTAGGCAGGGGGTGGGAATAGATGTAGGCAGGAGTAGCACTCGGGCTTCTTGCTTTTTGCTTGTATGTTTCTCATTTACTGCAATTTGTTTTCCTAATCCAGAGGGAACTAGCAGTAGGAGAAGCTATAAGCAATTTGACGGAGCCCCTGAGGGGGAGTGTTACGCTTGCTACAGGGAAGCCTGAGGTACCAGGAGGAGTGCAGGACAGAGTGATTACATACGCCAGGAGGAAGAAGGGATGAACCTGATCAGCAGTACGGGTGGCAGGGAAGGAAGGAGAGAAGGAGAAGTCAGCAGGATACACAGGGGAGAAAGGGAATGAGGGTGGACAGAGGAAGATTCACGACAGCACATGAGTGTGTGCATGTGTGTCTGAAGATTTGTGTGGTACAGAGTGAATCTGTGCGTGTGTGTGTGCGTCTTTGTGCATAAGCATAAACCTTTTATGTGCCTGTCTGTGTGTGTGTTCATGTTTGCATGTGTTCATGCCTGCATGCCATCTAACCACTGCTCCCACATGTACTCGACTCCACGCATGCACGAACCACTCTAACCGCACAGCTCCCCACCTGTGGAATTCACAGAGCATCTGGCCGAAGGGCAGCCGGCCCCCATGGATGGTGAGCGCGCCCATCTTGTTGTGGTTGGCCGCCACCAGCTCCTGAATGAAGTGCTCCTCGCACCCCTCGCAGTCCACCTTGAGCACGTCAATGTACGAGTGCCCCAGCCGCTTCATGATCTCATTCAGTCGCATGAACCTCTTCTGTGCCAGTGAGTCGTGGGAACACGGGGCAGAGGAGGCAGGAGGAGCAGGGGAAGCAAGGGGGAGCAGGGGGAGCAAGAAGGAGCAACGGGGGAGCAGAAAAAGGTCAGTGCGCTTTTCAGACATCCAGGCCCCCCTCCCCCCTCCGCACGCACTCCTCGCACCCCTGGCAGTCCGCCTTGAGCACGTGAATGTACACGCCCCTCATAATCTCGCCCACCCGCATGACCCTCTTCTGTTCCACGTGAGGCGCAGGACGTGTGGGAGAGCGGGAGACATTGGGAGCAGAGGAGGAAAGGGAAGCAGAGGGAGGAAAGAGGGAGCAGAGGAGGAGAAGGGGAGCAGAGGAGGAAAGGGGGAGTAGAGGGAGGAAAGGGGGAGTAGAGGGAGGAAAGGGGGAGTAGAGGGAGGAAAGGGGGAGTAGAGGGAGGAAAGGGGGAGTAGAGGGAGGAAAGGGGGAGTAGAGGGAGGAAAGGGGGAGTAGAGGGAGGAAAGGGGGAGCAGAGGGAGGAAAGGAAAGGGGGAGTAGAGGGAGGAAAGGGGAGCAGAGGGAGGAAAGGGGAGCAGAGGGAGGAAAGGGGGAGCAGAGGGAGGAAAGGGGAGCAGAGGGAGGAAAGGGGGAGCAGAGGGAGGAAAGGGGAGCAGAGGGAGCAGGTGCAGCCTCATGATCTCGCTTACCCACATGAACCTCATCTGTGCTCGTGGGCCATGGAAACAAAGGGGAGCAAGAAGAACAGGAGAGAGGGTGAAAGTGGGAGCGAGGGGGAATTATTGGGGCAAAAAGAGCAAGGGGGGTAAGGGGGAGGAGCATACGGAGAAAAAGGGGAGAGCTTTCCAGGCACCTTGACAGCCACCCAAGCACTCCTCGCACCCCCCAACCTCGAAGCATACCGTGTTGCATGAATCACCAATTTCTCAGCCACCCTCACGCCACACCTAGTCTGCTCTTTAAACTCTCACGCTTGGCTAGTCAATCCCGCATGAGCCTTCACCTGCATACGTGGGTGGGTGGAGGGAGAGAGTTTTGAGGCATCTCAACACATGCATGACATGAGCCAGCTGCCTGAGGTGCATCTTGGGGGGAGAGCAGGAGCAAGGAGAGGGGGCAGAAGACGGGGGGAGGGCAGGAGAAAGGGGACAGGGCAGGAAGAATGGGGGAGGGCAGGAGAAAAGGGGGAGGGCAGGAGGAGGGCAAGAGAAAAGGAAAGGGCAAGAGAACCTCGCACGTTGGGGCACCAATCGCACCTTGGCTTGGGGTACCGCATTTCATCTTGAGGTACCGCATCGCACCTTGGGGTACCACTTCTTGTACTCGTTGATGTCAGCGCTGCTGGCAACGCCAATGCTGTGGAAGCGCAGGAAGGGGAGGGCCTTCATGCGCGCCTGGGCCTCGGGAGGGATGAAGGGGTCGAAGGTGTCCGTGCGGATGTGCAGCTCCTGGCTTATCTCACTCTCAAAGGAGAACGACTCGTTGCTGCCGATGCTGCAGGGAGGAGGGGATATGAGGGGCGGAGTGAGGGGAGGGGCCATATGATATGATGGGCTGATCTGTTGTGCTTGATGTGCTCATGAGCTGATGGGAAGATGTGAACGGGTCGAAGGTGGGTGGGGGTCGAGGTCGGTGCGGCGGTCAGTGCAAAGGGTCAGCCGTGGCAAGACGGAGGGTTGATGCTGTTGGTGTGCGGATGTAACGCTTCTGAATGAATACGTACTTGCAGGACACAAGACAGACATTCTAGATAATGTTTAGGTGGGCAATGCTGGTGGCTCAACGGTATGTACAAAACAACATATGGGTAGGACACTAAAAAAAGCATATGCGGCACAACTTTGATAGCAGGTAACATACAAATGATAGCAACATATGGGTAACACATACAACAGACCTGTACACTATGGGCTTGGGCTGAATGGTGGACGGCAGCATGCATGTCCACTGGTGCAGCGGGACGGGGAATTGGAGGAGCAGAGAGGAAGGAGTGGAAGCATCAGTAAGATTGTAAGGAGCTGAGCATGTAAGACTGCAACGCAGCATGCATGTCCGTGGTGGTGGATGAGTGGAGGAGACAGGGTGGGCGTGGTCGGGGTGGGTTGGGGCAGGGGGTGAGGGGAATGTGTGGGTGCATCCGTGGGTGTTTTGGAAAGCGCACGAGGAAAGTCAGCACCACTTAGCACTGAATACATGTTTTCAATCCCTTTTCATACAGTCACACTCGCCTTGCCTTGCCTTGCCACCGTCGTCACCCCACATACCCAGACTCTTTTTTCCACCGAAACTGCTCGGCGCGCCACCCTACACACACGAGGATAGCACATGGGGGGGCTCACCCCTCCCTGGATACATTCCATCTCAAACATTCCTCACTCCATCCTTACCTTCCCCTCCCCCCCTTCCTTCTCCCCCCAATCCAACCCAATGCCCCACCGCGTTTCTCATTTTGCAACGTGGTCACTTGGAGTAGAATCAGAAAAAAAAAAACCCCATCTCCACTGCCCCACCACCTTCCCTCATCCTTATCCTCACCCCATTCTTACCCATCCCCACTGCCAAACCACCTTTCCTCATCCTTAACCTCAACCATCCCCACTGCCCCACCACATATCGCCATCCTTACCCCCCAACCCATCCTCACCCGACCCCCATTGCCCCACCGTCTCTCTCACCTTGCCACCATCACCCCACACGCCCAGCCGCTCCTCCCCGGGGCACTGGTACGTGGGCACAAGGATGCGGATGAGCATATCTGCACCGTCCGTTACATCTAACGGCTGAAAATGGCCGCCATTGAAGTCCTTGCGCCGTTGCACGTTCAGCTGTTATGGGGATACAAATGGGTGAAATTCAGTTGTTGAATTTCACTAGCATGGTAAAGCGAGGGCCATGCGCAATTATACAGTAAACGCGAAAAACGTGCACGGAACACCTCTGCACAACACTAAGCGACCTAGAATGTTTGCGGTAACTCACACAAATGCCATATATCGCTAAAGCGAAGTATACCGCTTGTATGTAACTACCTGAGGACCTTTAGTACACACCCAGTAGTTTTCTTCTGCACGGCATTGTGCAGCGCTTATCTTGCACCCGGCAAGGCCACCGCCTTCGGGCTGCAACGCGGCGTCGATTCGCGGTTCAACCTGGCCGACTCGCCATGGCTGAAAGAAGAGTACAAACGGTAGCTCGAGAGCGAGAATCACGGCGGCAGCTACAAGATACGGTCTCGCCGCGAGCAGAAACGACGCGAAACCGCCGCCGCCGCTCACGCCGCCGCCGCCGGATTTCCCAATGTCGAGGACGAAAAAGGAGCTGCTAGACGGCATGATTGAATGGAGGACGAACCATAAGCTTCTAATAATGTCAACTAATTCCAGTCGACATAATTATGACTAGCGTGAGAGCATTTGTGACTGGAAGCAGAGCTTTTGTGAGTGAACTCGAGTGAACCAAAATGTGTGACGATACACATTCCTCGCGAGGTTCTGTTGGCGAAGTCCTGCGTTACTGCCACATGCATCTCGCAGGAAGAGTTTTCCAGGAAGCGATGAGGCCACCCAGTCAGCGACGAATTCCCCTTCACCTTCACGAAATAACTCTTCGTGAACGCAAACTTCGACAAAAGTGCAAATCGGCCAAATGTCGAACAAAATGATTTCGTCGACGCGTGCGACATGTTTGCGAAGGAATTTTGTAAACAGAACCCAGCACCACTCTTCCTCCACTTCCCCTCCGTTTCTTCACCTCCCGTTGTAGTCACATCAGTTGCTGCACACCAAGACAATCACCAGTGCCAAAGCGCGCCAGATCTGTCAACAGTACGTCTCGTCGCATCGCTTGAAGCGTCGACGACTTTGGTGGAGAATCTGTTGATCCGCCAATCATGGCGCTGGGCGAGGCAACGCGCGTGGCGCTGCAGGTGTTCAAAGCGACGGGCGGGCTGGTGTGGAAGCGCCACCCCATGAACCACACGCGCCGCGCCAACGCCAAGACGCGCCACGCGCGCATCCGACAGGTGCGATGGACGAGCTGGAGTGCACGTGCTTTTCACGCAGATAGAGCAACTCTCCGAAGCGCGATAGGAGAGCCGATGGGGGGACGAGCGGACGAGTGGACGAGCGGATGAGCGGAGGAGAGGACGAGCGGAGGAGCGGAGGAGCGGGCGAGCGGACGAGCGGACGAGCGGACGAGCGGAGGAGCGGACGAGCGGATGAGCGGACGAGCGGATGAGCGGAGGAGCGGATGAGCGGAGGAGCGGGATGAGGTGCGCATGCAGCGTGGCAGCATGCCTGGGTGCACTGCTCCGCGGTTCCCCGCATGGATGTGCCTTGGCGCCCATGACGTCCCCCGCCGCACCGAGGAGTCCCTTGCTGCCTCTCTTGCTGCACCCCCCTTCCGGACCCATTCCCCCATGGCTTTCCACAAGACGGTCAGCAGGCTGTGTCCGTTGAGAGCAGTGCGGGGCGCTGACAGCAGGCTGCCCGGCTCGCCCAAGGGCTCCACACGCCCTGCCATGCTGCCTCATCGGCGAGCGGCTGTGGTGACGCAGAGGTTGAGCACTGCCCACATGGCAGCTTGAGCCCACGTGGCAGCTTGCGCCCACGTGGCAGCTTGAGCCCACGTGGCAGCTTGAGCCCACGTGGCACCTTGAGCCCACAAACGTGTTCGTAGCGTGCGCAGCCCGATGCTGCTCCTCCCAACGCTGCGCACTCTTCACTCTCTTCCGCCCTCCCTTTCGGTGCCCCCCTATCCCCCCTTGTTCCGATCTCCCTCTCGCAGGCAGAGGAAGTGCTGTGGGTGTGTGCTGTGCTGCTGTGCCCCCCCCTGTTGCTACTCCCGCCCACTTTGTGGCCCCCTCCCTCCTGTTCTTTCCTCCTCCCCTGCCGCCCCTTCCCCACCTCCGTCCCCACACCTCCGCCATGCGAAAGCAGGCAGAGGAGGTGCTGGGAGTGTGTGCGGCTGAGCCGCCTCATGCTGCTGAATTGTCTCATATTGTGATGCCCTCCCTCCTCCTTGCCTCCTCTTCCCCACCCCCAACCCCCCCCCCCTCCCCAACCCCCCCCTCTCCACCATGCGGAAACAGGCGGAGGAGGTGCTGAGAGTGTGTGCTGCTGCGCCGCCACATGCTGCTGCTGACTCCGCCCACTGCCCTCCTCCCCACGAGGCGGCATCGGGGCAGCACGCACACGGCACAGCACAGCAGTGACCCGTGCCGCCGGCAGCAAGAGCATCATGGGCAAGCAGAAGCACAGAGTGTGTGGCGGTGTAAGGGATTGACGGCAGCGTGGTAGCAGCACACAGTGCGGTGCAGTGACAGGCAGCAAGGGCTGTGCGCACTGGGTGGTTGGAGGAGGGGATCGCCACGCGCTGGTGGGTGGGCACAGCGCATGGCAGCACCACTGTGGGCCTGTCTTGTGCGCCGTCACGCATCAACACAAGGGCACTGGATGGGTGGCCTGTGCTCCGGCACAGGAGTTTTGGGAGTGAGGTCGTTCTGAGCACGGGTGAAGATGCGGTTCCTTCTCACTGCTCTCAGATTTGGCACAGGACAGAATGTGGTCTCACATGACATCAGCACAGAATAACACCCATAAGAGCACTGAAGCAACAGCAGCTGCAAAAGCAACAATGGCTGCCTTTTAACCATAGCAGACGGCTCCCTTTTGAATTCTTGCTTGCAGAGAAAATGCATACTGGTAAGTACCTTACTAGAGTGTGTCAACTTGCCTTTCTAGCAAGGTATATGTACTGTTTGCTTCACACGAATGATCATTGTTTGTCAGTGAAAGTCCATGGTTGAAAAATCACTTACGGTTGCAACATGTATGGTATGATAAGGTGAACAGATGAGAGCAAGCCTTAGTATTAGCATGGCATGGTGGCCCTGGCTGCAGCAGCAAGGCCAGCCCTAGTCAAAGACAGGCACCTTGTCCAAAACAGTCCATGTGGTGTGGTGCGGTGCGCTGTGGTGTGGCCTGGTTCCTACGACAATCCCACTCACGAGCATCGCCGTACATTAAAACCACGGCTTCAATAAGCGTCAAACCACCTCAAATCATGCAACAGTGGCAGCAGCAGCAGCAGCAGCAGCACCTTGGGCCAGACCAGCCTTGGCCATGGCGAGGGCGCCCTCGTACGTGTGGTTACCACCGATGAACCCACTCATGTGCACAAACACCCCCCTAGGAATGCTCGACCGCTCCGACAGCTCATCGTCGCGCAGCCCCCTCCAGTCGACGGGGAGCGGGCAGCGGCTCTCAAAGCTGCCTGGCGCCACTGAAATGGCCTGCACCCTCCACTGCTTGGCCCGGTCGTCCTGCAGGGGCCAGGCAGGTGCAGGAAAGCAAGTGGGGGAATGAGGGGGTGAGAGAAACATGTCCGCATCCCCTCCAGTCCATGGGCAGCACGCAGCGGCTCTCGAAGCTGCCCGGCGCCACTGTAATGGCCTGCACGCGCCACTGTAATGGCCTGCACGCGCCACTGTAATGGCCTGCACGCGCCACTGCTTGGCCCGATTGTCCTGTGGAGGTGTTGCCAGGGGGTAGCGCGGGAGTGACGAGGAGGGGAGTGAGGGGAATGCAGGGAGTGAAGGAAGTGAGGGCAGTGAGGGAAGGGAGAGGAGTGAAGGAAGTGAGGGCAGTGAGGGAAGTGAGGGAAGTGAGGGCAGTGAGGGAAGTGAGGGAAGTGAGGGCAGTGAGGGCAGTGAGGGAAGTGAGGGCAGTGAGGGAAGTGAGGGCAGTGAGGGAAGTGAGGGAAGTGAGGGCAGTGAGGGAAGTGAGGGAAGTGAGGGAAGTGAGGGGAGTGAGGGAAGTGAGGGAAGTGAGGGGAGTGAGGGGAGTGAGAGGAGTGAGGGAAGCAAAGGAAAGGCTCCAAAATGCACGGGTGACAGCAAGGGCCGTACCACTGCTGCACGTGCAAGTTCCACTTGTAGGGCGGCCATGGAGTGGTTGAATGCGGAGCTACGGCGAGGAGGGAGGATGAGCGGTGTATCTCACAGACCATACCTCATACAGCATGTACCTCATACAGCATGTACCTCATACAGCATGTATTTGGGCAGAGGGTTGAGCTTCAACTCCCCTTCCAGCTCACTCAGATGCCCCTTCCACTGCACCCACACAGTAATGACACACACACAGAGATGACACGCACAAACGTAGAGCAGGGTTACATGCACTCTGAGAAATGATGCACTCTGAGAAATGATGCACTCTGAGAAATGATGCACCCTGAGAAATGATGCACCCTGAGAAATGATGCACTCTGAGAAATGATGCACTCTGAGAAATGATGCACTCTGAGAAATGATGCACTCTGAGAAATGATGCACCCTGAGAAATGATGCACTCTGAGAAATGATGCACCCTGAGAAATGATGCACCCTGAGAAATGATGCACTCTGAGAAATGATGCACTCTGAGAAATGATGCACTCTGAGAAATGATGCACTCTGAGAAATGATGCACTCTGAGAAATGATGCACTCTGAGAAATGATGCACTCTGAGAAATGATGCACTCTGAGAAATGATGCACTCTGAGAAATGATGCACTCTGAGAAATGATGCACCCTGAGAAATGATGCACTCTGAGAAATGATGCACCCTGAGAAATGATGCACCCTGAGAAATGATGCACTCTGAGAAATGATGCACCCTGAGAAATGATGCACTCTGAGAAATGATGCACTCTGAGAAATGATGCACTCTGAGAAATGATGCACTCTGAGAAATGATGCACCCTGAGAAATGATGCACTCTGAGAAATGATGCACTCTGAGAAATGATGCACCCTGAGAAATGATGCACCCTGAGAAATGATGCACCCTGAGAAATGATGCACCCTGAGAAATGATGCACCCTGAGAAATGATGCACCCTGAGAAATGATGCACACATGACCCGACTCGCGATGACACCCAGGTAGTGGCACGCACAGAGAGAGGGAAGGTGCAGAGAGAGGCATGAGGTATGGGGACGCACAGCCCATACAGCAGATTCAGCGCGTAACAGCACAGCGGTGTGTCAGTGTCAGGTCAGCCATGCCTTGCAGAGCACCTGCTGCTGCACTCCGCTCCACCCCTCCTCACACCGGCTGCCTCCAGGACAACGTGCGCCACAAACTCTACACCCCCCGTGCTATGCGTCCCCATCCCATGTCACACAGCGTGCAGCAGGCAGCATGGGTGGTGTCGCGATTACCGGGCAGAACTGTTTGAGCGTGATGATCTCGGCAGTGCCGTGCTCTGCCACGGCGGCCGCAATGCTCTCCTCCACAATGCTGCGCGCCGGCAGCCAGCTGCGTGCCGTGTATGTCACCGCCTGCCAGGGGGTTGGTGGTGGAGGGGGTTGGGGTTTTGAGACGTCTCAAAGCTGCCAGCCAGCCGTGCGCCGTGCACGTCACCACCTGGAGGGGAGGTTGATGGGACTGGTGGTGGGGGAGTGGTGGAGTGGGGCAGGGTGTGAACCACGAGACAGATGGCCCTGGCATTTCGGGAGGGGGACAAGGGAGTGATGAGGGGTGAGGGAGGATGGCAGGGAGGGTGCGAGCCAGAAACGACCACATGAGTCTCAGAAAGGAGCCCCAGTAGCCCTCCTTTCCGCCCTAACTTCCCTGCCCCAGCCTCTCGCCCCCTCACTCTCCCCCTCTTTCCTTGGTCTACATTCAGCTGACCAATTCACTGGGAAGTACAAGTGATTGCCCCCAATGATTTGAATCCAACTTATCGAGTTCCAAATTGGGTCACATTTTGAAAGCAAGACTACTTGTGACCAAAGGGCGGAAGTTCCCACAAAAGGCCTTAAGTTAGCCAAGGACTAAAGAGAACGAGGGTGTGAGCGTGGAGACACATGGTAGTGGGTGGTGCACAGGTGACAGGGAGGGAGAGCGGGGAAGCCACTGCAACACGCCTCGCAGGGACCACGGCCATTCTCGTCCCTCTCCCCCACCCCCTACCACTCTCTCAACTCCCCTCTCCCAGGTCCCCTCGCTCCTTGTCCCAACATCGAAACCTCTTCTGTCCCCGCAATTCCCCTCCCATCCCCTCACTTCCTCTCCCCCACCCTCCTTCCCCCGTCACACCTCCACGAACTCCTCCCCAGCGAGAGCCATGGCCTTGTGAAAGGCAGCGTCCTGGGCGGCAGGGGAGGCGTCGTCGAGCCAGTCGGGGTTGAAGCGCCCCACGCGCGCCGACAGGTGCGTGTTGTTCACGTAGCGCGGCGGGTGCTCCGACTCAAACTGGTTCACCCCGTTGTCTATCGCGTCCAGCGCCTGGTGGGGAGGGGGGCGAGGGGAGGGAGGCAGGAGGGGGAAGGCGAGATAGGAGGCAGAAAGAGTTAAGGCGACAGGAGAGAGGCGGCCATGGTGGAGAGGAGAGTGAAAGGGGGCTCAAGGCATGCAAGAGATGGAGTGCGGTGAGGAGGTGAAACGAGGTGGCGAAGAGGGTGAGAGGAGCACGAGGGGCAGGGGCGCACATGTGGTGTTGCGGTGAGATAAAGTGAGATGAGATGAGATGAGACGAAACGAGATGCCCTGCAGCAAGGCGCATGTCCTCGTTACAAGCAGCCCCACATCGCATTGCATGACTTACCTCCATGAAGGAGCGGTAGACAGCGAGGTACACCTTGTGCACGTCCGCGTGGGTGTGAGGCAGCCCCATGAGCCCCGCCACCACCTCCTCCCCGTAGTGCTGCCCCACCCACACAGGGAGGGCGCAGGGCAGCAAGGGCAGGTGAGGGGCAGGGGAGGGGCAGGGGAGGGGCAGGGGAGGGGCATGGGAGGGGCATGGAGGGGCATGGAGGGGCATGGAGGGGCATGGAGGGGCGCAAGGAAGGGAGGGACGGGCGGGGGTGGACAGGGGGAGAGGGGGCGAGGGAGGGGGAGAGCGAGGGCGTGAGGATGGTGGTGAGGCAAGCACCAATGATGCGCCACCTCTCCTTGCCGCTGCTCCCTGTGCCACTGCTTGCCAATCAAACAAACGGACGGGGAGAGTGGTGATGCAGCAAGCAGACGGGGAGAGTGGTGATGCAGCAAGCAACTCCCCGCCTTCCCTCCTTCCGCCCCACAAGCCCTGCACGTGGCACCTTGAGCCACTCACCCTCCCGAACCCTTCCCCCCGCACCCCCCTTGCCCCTTCTGCTGCCCTCCCCACCTTGTACACGGGTCCCGCGCTGCTGAGCCTGGTGCAGAACTAAGTTGGAATATACGCTTGGGTTTGTAAGCGTACTGCGTTTGTACGCTAGCGTATACACGCAAATGCGCAAAACGCAATATGTACGCTTCGATATAATGCGGGCAGCCCGGGCGAAAAAAAAAAAGTTGCAAATTTCGAGTTCGCGATTCGCACAACATTGTTCCCACGTCGCGGACACCAATGAACTCTCGAATTTCAAAATTTGAAAGCTACACATGTTCCTACCGCATTCAACCCCAGCTTATCTCTCTCACTTCCAACCCATCAGTCCCCACCAGCAAAGCTGCTCACGACTATAGAAGGTGAGCGTTCACCACCCAATTTTCATTCTCAGTTGTTGTACTCCACTTTCGTTTTCTACCTCCAGCTCTCAGCTTTCCTAGCCACAGCTACCATGTCTACTCCAACTTCCACTCCTGCGAGTGGCACCGCTGGTGAGGATACCGGCGCCGAGGCCTCCACCGCAGAGGAGTTTCAGCCCGATACCAACCATGTGGTGTTCAAGCACTTTCGCATCCCCATCCGCGAGAACGTGAAGGGCGTTCCGCGCATTTGCAAGCACTGCAAGCTGGAGTTCGTCGGCGGAGCCTACCGCTGCGCGCAGCACATCGTCACCTGGAAGGGCATGCGTCGCCGCGAGGTGCGCCTCTGCAATGCTGCTCCATCAACGGCCCGTAGCGAAATCCGCGCTCTTTACGAGAAGAAGCATTCCTCTCGCGACTTTAAGCGGCGGGCGGAGGAGTTCGCCCTGGAGGCTGTTTGTGGACGCGCGAAACAAGGCCGCATCAGCGACACCTACGGCGACGCGGCTGCTTGCGCGAAGACCGACGCGGACGACGCCATCTGCCTAATGTGGGCCGGCCTGCGCCTCCCGGAGCACCACGCGGACCACGTTTTGTGGCGGAATGCTGTCCGTTGCATCAACAACGCGCCAAAAGGTTACGTGCCCCCTCGTCGCCGCTACGTCGGAGGTGCGGGATTGCAGAAGACCCGCAAGAGGATTGAGCAAGACCTTTCCCCGATCGTCGCCAGCTGGAAGCATGACGGTGTCACGCTCTCGTCCGACATCATGACCGACAAGAATGGCCGCCCCCAGGCCAACGTCTTGCTCATCAACGACTACTGTGCGGTCTTCACTGAGAGCGTCGATTGCAAGCTGGAGCAGAAGACGGGTTGTACATCGCCAGCGTCCTTCGCCCCATTGTGAAGACAGTCGGCCCCGAGCACGTGGTGTCTCTCTGCGTGGACGGCGCGAGCAATTACGCGAGCGCCTTCAAGGAGTTGGCGCTTGAGTGGCCACACATTGAGTTCGTCCCGTGCGCGACGCACGTCATGGACCTGCTCATGGAGGATGTTGGGCGGATGGATTGGGCAAAGAACGTCGTGGAGCGGGCCAACGAGATCATCACCTTTGTGCGCAACCATCACTTCACCCGCGGGTACCTGAGGGGCCCGCAAGTGCAGGGGGGAAAAGGGAAGCATGTGCTGAAGCCGGCGGGCACAAGGTTTGGCACGCAATTTATCGCCGTTTCTCGGCTTTGTGAGGTGCAGGTCTCCCTCGTGCAGATGGTGTTGAGCGAGGAATGGGAGGAGTTTGCGAAAACAAGGAAAGAAGGCGCCGAAGCCTTCAAGTCCAAGATCATGGATGACCCGTGGTGGAAGAAGGCTTCTTACTTCAGCGACTTGATGAAGCTGCCGTTCGTCGTGATGCGCGCCACCGACTCAACCAAAAAGGCATGATGGGGCGCATCTACGACACGATGCTTCAACTCACTGAAGATGTGAACGCTAAGGTTGAAGAGGGGGGGGACGTGCTGACCCGGGCTGACAAGGCGGAGATTACCAAGATGGTGGGCAGCCTCTGGGATGGGAGCATGGCATGTGCCATGCATGTTGTGGGGCGGACCCTGAACCCCCTCAACCAAGAACAAGGCATCTTCCGCAACCACTTGCACTGCACCCGCATCTTCAAGTCTTACCTCAACCGCCACTATGACGGCATCACCATCACGCGGAAGGATGGTGAGGAGCGGCGGGCCGCCCATGTCCGGCAGGAGGGGCTGGAGGCGTTCATGACACTTCAGAGAAGTTTCGGCCTCCCTGAGGCGATTTCTGACCGTGAGTTCGTCAAGGCAGGGAAGAAGATCATGGTCCAGTGGTGGACCTGGCACGGCACCGACAACCCAGAGCTGACTGCCCTGGCTTGCCGGGTCCTCTCTCAACCCGTTTCCGCCGCTGCATGCGAGCGGAATTGGGCTTTGTGGGACGCTGTCCACACTGCACGGCGCAACAGGTTGGGGTCCGAAAAATGCCGCGACCTAGTGTTTGTTGCGCACAATTGGAACATTGTGCACAACTGGCACAAGGCCGAGGAGGGGATGGGGGCATTGGTGGGGAACATTCCCGAGCCTCCCATCCCTGAGGGGTACAAGGAAGATCGGGAGGAGGAGGTGGAGGAGGGGGAGGATGACGTGATGGAGGATGAGTATGTTGAGTAGAAAGGGGCGTGGGCAGCAGAGAGGTAAGGAGTACGGGTGGGGTAGTATAAGGCTGGATTTGCAAAGGACCAGGGAGGGAAGGGAGGGGGTATGATGGGGAGACGGTAGTTGCTCTTTGTGGGAGCAGTTAGGACGTTGAAGGGGGTGTAGGCCACCTGGAATTTGCTATGTATTTGCATGTTATTTAATGGGAAAAAAAAACTGGGGAGGGCAGAGGTATGGGTGAAAAGTGCCCCCTCCCCCTCCCCTCTCCAGAACCTTTTTTTCCTTGCCCGGGAAAGTTTTTCCCCTGCCCGGACGACCGTATTTCCAGCGTATATCAAAGCCTTCTCTGGACGTATTGCGTACTATACTCTAGCGTATACACGCATGCGTACAAAACGCGAAACGCGTATATTCCAACTTAAGTGCGGAAGCTATGGCCGAACACCCACCAACCCTGCACCCTCAATTCCCAACCCCTCACCACGCCCACCTCAAATCATTCACACAAATCTCCCCGTCTTCTCCCCCCCCCCACCCCCCACCTTGTACACGAGGCCCGCGCTGCTGAGCTTGGTGGAGAAGCCGTGGCCCAACACCTCGGAGAAGCCGCGCTGGTGGTGGTCGTAGCGGTCCGTGGCGGGGTTGTACACGCCGCCCACGTCGATCACCGCGTCCAGCTCCGCCAGCACCTGCAGCAGCGCACCACAGGAGGAAGGTGAGGAAGGGGGGGACGGGAGGGAAGGTGGGGAAGCGGGAAAGGGGGGAAGGTGGGTGGGGAAGGGGGGGAAACAGGGGAAGGTGGGGAAGGGGGGGGGGAAACAGGGGAAGGTGGAGAAAGGGGGGAGAGGTGGGGAAAGGGGGGAGAGGTGGGGAAAGGGGGGAAAGAGGGGAAGGTGGGGAAAGGGGGGAAAGAGGGGAAGGTGGGGAAAGGGGGAAAGAGGGGAAGGTGGGGAAAGGGGGAAAGAGGGGAAGGTGGGGAAAGGGGGGAAGAGGGGAAGGTGGGGAAAGGGGGGAAGACGGGGGAAGCGGTCCGTTGAGGGGTCGTACGCCCCCCCCACATCGATCACCACGTCCAGCTCCGCCAACACCTGTGGGCACCCCGGCACCAAGGAGGTAAAGGGGGAGGGGAGGGCATGAGGGAAGGAGAAGGGAGGCGCGTGCGGGGAGGGGAGGGGGTAACGTTGGTGGTGGTGGAAGCGGCGCGTTGCAAAGTCGTCCCCCCCGCCCACGCCCATCACCGCGCAGTGGCAGGTGCTGGCGGAAGTGCCCATGGGGCCGCGCCCGTCACTGCACACACCTCCGCCCGCACCTGCCACCGCACCATTGGGGGAACAGGGAGGGGAGGGGATGGGGAAAGGGGAAGGGGAAGGGGAAGATTGTGATGTTTGCAGGCGTACAGTACACGAAGGGATGAAAAGGGCGCCGCAGCGTGCGAATAACCTCCTGTACGGCCCAAAGGTCCAAGACATGGGGCATTGTGGAGGGAAGCAAAGGACGGTGGGACGGGAGGCGAGCAGCTGGTGTTTGGCTCTTTGAGTCCCGCCCCATCATGCGTGCGAGGAATTTAAGGCAGATTGATCTGGGCTTGTGCGACCTTCACCCCGCCCCTCCTCTCTGCGACACTGCGCTTGTCCAAAACCCAAAATCGTGAAATCTGAATTCTAACCCTGCTGCACGCCGAAGCTCGCACCTTTTCGTCCCTGGTGCGGATCACATCGGCGTCGCGGAACTTGAGCGTGCGGCGCAGCAGGAAGCACCCCATCGCCTCGTCGCAATGGAACGTGCCGTTGTGCGTCCCGATGCGCTTCCGCGGGGCTCCCGCCTGCTCGCCGTTCCCCGCGCTCACCGCCGCATCTGCCGCCGCGTCTCCCGCTGCCGCCATCTTGGCTCGTTTGCGCGCCGCAGACTCCTCGGCAGGAGGTGACGGTGGAGAGGCCGACGACGCCAGCACGGACGTGCCGTGGAACCCGGCGGGGAATGCGGTGGGGAATCCGTTCGCTGAGTGGCGCGCGGGGGGACACGCAAGGGTTGCAAGGAGGTTGAAGGGAGCGCTGCTGACGTGGCAGTGGGTTTGAGCGCGTGTGGCGGAGGCGAAAGAGAGGAAGGCGACGCGCAGCAGCGGCGATGCGAGGACGCGCATGGGAACGGCGCGGATGGCGGTGGTCGCACAGAGCAGCTCGGCTGTTATTGTCGCTGGAGATGGATTTAGGTAATTATAGATTATATAGTTTTTTAATTAAAATCCTCATCATATGGGGATGTAGCTCAGATGGTAGAGCGCTCGCTTAGCATGCGAGAGGTATGGGGATCGATACCCCACTTCTCCAGCTCCCTTCGCCTTTTCTTGACCCATAGAGAATCTTCTCGTAGCAGTCAGCACGCCGCCAGCACGAAAGCCAGCTGTTAATTTTCTCCTCGACCGACACGGAACAACGAAACAGCGTTTTCCCGCCACCACCCGCACTTGCCGCCCTCGTCTCCGCCGTGGCCCCGCCCGTCTCGTTTTCCACTCGCGCCTTATCCCCGCCGTGCGGCTCCCGTCCCCCCCTCGTCGTGCGCTCTCCGCGGCAATCCCCTCCCTGCGTGCTCCCCGCAATGTTCGCATTCGCTTCGCCGTAGGTGCGCGCTTCTTCCGCCATGCACTTCCCCGCGTCCCCCTGGCTGCGCGCCCTCGCGGGGCTCTCCGCCGCGCTCGCGCTCGCCTGCCTCTACGCCGCCGTCTCCGCCCCCTCCGCCTCCCTCCTCTCCGCCTTTGTTTCCGCGGGCGGGTATGGCGGGGGGAGTGGGGGTGAGGATGCGGGGAACGAAAGGGAAGCGGAGCTAGGCGCGCGACCGTTTGATGACGCGGAGTGGGGGGAGGGGGAAACGGGGCAGGAGGGATTAGGCGGGCAGGACCTGTTTGCGCTGGCAGCAGAGGCGGGGCGAGAGGGGGAGGCGGGGCGCGGAAGGGAGGCAGGGCTGGGCAAGGGCGAAGAGGATGCTACACTGTACCCTTCATTGGATGGCAGGTGGGCCGTGGGTGGGACGGCGTGTCAACGCGTGCACATCCGCGACGGCGTCCGCACACCTGTGTGGAGCTGCCTCCCTTGCTGCTGCTTGCACTATGCTCCCCCCCCTAACCCCCCACATTCTCGCCCCATTCCACCCTCTCATGCTGGGGAGTCAGCACTGAGTCACCCAAGAGTCAACGGTCGGTGGAGTGGAGTCAATGTTGCGTTCGTTCTTCTCCGCCATGTCCCCTCGCGCTCACCTCTACCCCTGCCCCCGCATCCCCACTGTCCCACCCCATCGTCCCTGCCACTGCAAGCGCCCACCACGAGGGCGCCGTATCTCATTCCATTCCTACCTTCCCCCCACCCCTTCCCCACGCTTCCCCCTTTCCCCCCAATCGCTTCCCGTGTCCCACGTTCTCCCAGTTCCCCTGTGCTGGCACTGCTAGCGGCGCACAGGCGGCGCATGCAGCAGCGAGTGGAGGAGGCGCGGGTGCACGCAGAGCGGGACGAGCAGCGCCTGCACGCCGCTGTCAGGGCCGCCGTGCGGGTGAGCGTGCAAGGGGGGGGGAGGGGGGGGGAGGGTGTGTACGTGGAGGGGGGAAGAGGGTGTGTACGTGGAGGGGGGAAGAGGGTGTGTACGTGGAGGGGGGAAGAGGGTGTGTACGTGGAGGGGGGAAGAGGGTGTGTACGTTGAGGGGGGAGATAATGTAGTAGAGGTGGTCAGTTATAGGAAGTCATACTTTCAGCCACGGTGCGTTGACTCAAAAGTTCAGCCACTGTGTAGGACTGAGCGTGGAGCAGAGAGGGGAGGAGGCGGAGAGAGGAGCTGCGAGATAAGGAGAAGGGGAGGCGAGGGGATTAGTGGAAGGGAAGGCGAGGGGGTGGTGACGTACAGTCTCGTCTGCATGCTCGCTGTCACCCTCCTTCCCCTCCCACCTGCATCACCACCGTTCGCCTTTGCCCACTAACTACAATAATTCGGACCCCTTGTGCCCACTCCACCCCTTGTTCTCTCCCCTACACGCTCCTCACACTTTCCCAAACTGAACTCTTTCCCAATCCCCTCCCCATCCCATCCCTCACCACCCACCACGGACACCAGCACCTGCGTGTGGAGCGCACATGGCTGGGGGACAGCCCCCCCTTGCTGGACGAGGCGGCTTCTTCGGCGCCTCAAACGCAACAACTTCCCACCCCCAACCCAAACCCACCCCCACCCCCACCCCCACCCCCACCCCCACCCCCACCCCTACCCCCACCCTCACCCCCACCCCACACTCTACATCATTCCACGGAGAGCAGCAGCTGCACGTGGACCGCACCTCGCTGGCGGACACCTTCCCCCTGCTGGACGAGGCGGCTGCTTCCACCATTGCCGCGCTGCCAGCTGGCGACGACAGCCTGGCGCAGATCCACGCCATGCTGGCAGCTGCGCCACGTGTCAGTGTGGGAGAGGTGGACGTGGAGGGTGGGGTGGAGGGAGAGGGCACGGTGGGAGCGGCAGCAAGCACGGGTGTAGAGGGGCGAGTAGAGGGGGCGGTGGGGGGAGCAGCAGTGGGGGGGCCAGTGAGGGGGACAGTGGGGGAAGCAGCATGGGAGGAGGCAGTGGAGGAGGCTGTAGGGGAGTGCATGGACCTGTATTTCGTGGCGGAGGGGCTGCAGACTCGATTCCACATCGGTGCGTGGCCAGGAGGGCGGCCGGTAGGGCACGTTGGCTGGGAGGGGGAGTGACAGAGCACGCGCGAGGAGGGGATAGGGTGCCAGGGCTGGTGGGGATAGGGTGCCAGGGCTGGTGGGGATAGGGTGCCAGGGCTGGTGGGGATAGGGTGCCAGGGCTGGTGGGGAAGTGGCATGGCGGTGGGCGGGCTTACGGGAGTGGATGGTTGCAGTGTGCACATTGCGATGATAGGGAGTGCCATGCACATTGCGATGATAGGGAGTGCCATGCACATTGCGATGATAGGGAGTGCCATGCACATGGTCATAGGGAGTGCCATGCACATGGTCATCAACAACCTCTATCCCCCTCCCCTTCCCCCTCCTCCTCTCCCCACTCGCTGCCTCCCCCAAACCCTACACCCCAATCAGTTCAGTGACACAGAGGCAGCAGCAGGCGGACAGGGAGGTGGAGGCGAGACAGGTCATGCTGGGGCAGCTGAGATCGCTGGACGACCAAGACAGTGGCTAAAGCTCTCTTTTCCCCCCTTCTCCCTCTCTCCCTCTCCCCACTCACCACCTCCCCCAACCCCCCTCTGTGTGCCATGCAGCCACGCAGAAGCAGCAGCAGGCGGACAGGGAGGCGGAGCTGCGGCAGTTCATGCTGGGGCAGCTGAGAGCGCTGGACGACCGCCGCGACTGGTGGGTGGCGCTCAACCTCACGGGCGACGAGGCCAGTGAGAAGCTCAACACCATGCCGGACGGGGCAGGTGCGTGTGAGACGCCAGGTGGAACGGAATGTACACTTGTGTGAAGGTGTTACATGGTTTGGTGATGCAGTGTATTCCTCACTCACACATCCCTGCACGGCTATACTGGTGCATCCGGGCTGGGTGCATCCGGGCTGGGTGCGTTGACAAGAGAATGGACGTGTGAGTGAGGTCGCCACGGGGAGAGGCCAAGTGACAACAAAGAGCACTGGGGTGAGCGCCGCTCACGGCGTGGCTGCTCCTTTCCTTTCCCCGGATCCTGTCGTCGATTCTAGTGTCACTCGCATTTTCTCTCTCACCTCCCTCACGCCTCCCAGACCCCACAACAAACTACTCTCTCCCCACCAGACACAACCAGCCTGCTTGAATCCGCCCTCTGCAACCTGCCTTCCATCCCTCCCGTGATCCCCCGCTCTTCACTCTCCCATCCCTCCTCACCCTGCCCATCCCCCACGCCTCTCACCAGAGAAGGCGAAGCTATCGGAGTTCCTCTTCTGGTATCTGCCCTTCCACGCCTGGTTCGACTCCGAGGGGCCCGACCACCCCAAGGCCGTCGCTCACGTGGAGGAGCAGCGCGCTGTGCTGGCAGCCGCCACGTCAGCCGCCAAGTCAGCAGAATCAACCCTGAAAGCCACACAAGAGCAGCTATGGGAGGAGTGCGGGCTGCGGCTGCCCCACAGCAACTGGACGGAGGAGCAGAGCGCGCTGCTGGAGCGATACGCTGCCGTGGCCAATGTGTCTGGCTGCACCGAACAGTGCACCGACTGGGAGGCTATTTACCCCGAGTACGAAACCCAACCGGGGCTAGTCGCCCCGAAGCACGTGTGGCAGAAGCTACCGGAGCACTATCCTGACACGCGCCCCAACGTGTCCTTCATCGTGACGTACGGCGGGCGAGCAGAGCGTGTGCAGGCGCTGGTATCCCGTCTGTACACATGCACGCACGGCATGGCTGGGACTGGTTCTCTGCCGGGCATCCGCGCAGAGATGGTGGTGAGTGTGATGAACCCGGATGTGAGTCTGGAGGCGTGGATGCAGGCGAGGAACGACACGGCGGAGGGCATCTTCGTGGTGCCCGTGCTGCCGAGGCTGGGCGCGGCGCCGCTCATGTTCAACGACCTGGCGAGGATGGCACGGGGGGAGCTGTTGATGCTGCTGGATGGCGACACGCTGCCGCCCGCGTCGTGCGTGTGGCTGGACAGAGTGCTGGCCGCGTTCGCCGCGTGGCCGCGCCTGGCAGTGGCGGGCTTCCGCACCGACGCCCTGGGGGAGGCTGGCCGCGCACAGGAGCGCGTGGAGGGAGAGGAGGCGCCTCAGGGGGCACGTGCTGCTGCCAGCGTGCGGTTCTGGACGGGGCTTGCAGAAGAGATGGAGGGGAGAGGGGGAGAGGAGGGAGGAGAGGTGGGGTGGAGGGACCCGGAGACGGGCGTGGCGATGCACTTCACGGGGCTGGTAACCGCGTTCCCTCTGGTGTTGCGGCGTTCTGTGCTGGAGGACATGGGGTGGCTGGATGAGGCGGATCTGAGGCAGGGGGCGGCGGCCGTCATGAGCGACTGGCACCTCTGCTGCCGTGCATGGCTCTCAGGCTACCAGGTGGGTGCTGGTGGGCTGTGAGGTGGGTGGTGGGCTGTGAGGTGGGTGCTGGGCTGTGAGGTGGGTGCTGGGCTGTGAGGTGGGTGCTGGGCTGTGAGGTGGGTGGTGAAACCAACAGTCTTTGGCTGTTCACCAGCAAGTCCCGTGCTCCTAGCCACTCCCCTGCATCTTCCCCATCCTGCCTATCCCCCCACGTGCTCCCCCCTCCCCTCCCCCTGCAGGTGGCGCGTCTACAGCTGCCCACGGAGGAAGGCGACCATGGGGACTGGCCCACCGTGACACGAGCACAGCACCGCCACGTGCTGCCGGGGCGGGGTGTGTCTGGAGGGGGTGAGCAGGGCAGCGCAGTGGAGTATGGGGAGTACGATGCTGCGATGGCGGGGTACCATGATGACATCGTCAAGGAGGTCGCTCGCTTGAACCACCTGCTCGTTCGCAATGATTAGCGCGGCCTGGTGATGGGGAATGGGGATCTGCCATGCCGGGTTTTGAAGTAGTCAGGCAGAAAAGCTGTCAGGACCGCCGCCAGGTCAATCTCTTCGCTATTGGAAAAAAATTATGGGTTGAATTGATTTTGCTAAAAGGGAAATGTTTGTACCAGATTAAAAAAAAAACATAAAACAGTAAGAATGTTTCATTGAGTGGATATGCTGATAAGTCAATAGTGTACCTTTGTTGGACACGTGGAATCTGCAATGATCCAAACGAGTCGCACGAGCTGATAGGTGGATTCGACACACAGAAATCTGGACTTGCTGCTGCCTGCATCCATTGCATTCCATTGCTATGATGGGGACTGCTGTGTGTGACTTTTGGGTCGACTCAAAAGTCGCCTGCTGCACCCATTGCAATTTGCATGCAAGGTAAAGATAGGAGGATTGGTGTCTGCGAGTCTAAGCGAAGCGGCGTGAGAACTGCGGCGTTTCAGCGATACTACTAGTAGTAGTAGCACCTACTAACGCCAAATCCGACGCGCCATATCGGACGGCCACCCGAAACGCGATGCTCGGCGCAGCAATAGGTGCCGTCGATGACCCCTCCTTAGTTCTTGGAGGAGTGACGGGCGAGACGCGCTCGTCCGAGCCGCCTGACGGCGCCGGTGGTGCGAAACTCTCGCCGCCTCACGCGGATTCGCTTAGAGACGCTTCCGACGGTGTCGCCGCTGTAGAGAGTACAAGCAGCGCCGCAGAGTCCGACGCGTCTACTGCGCCGCGCGGACTCGCCGGAGGTGGCGGAGACGCTGTGGAGGACCGCGGTGCGAGCGACGAGAAAGCGCAGACGGCGGAGGAGGGACGCGCTGTAGCGGACGGAAACCCGGCGGAAGGGATGGTGGGGGGCGGAGGGGCGGAGCGGAATGGGGGGATGCAGAGCGCCGCTGTAGGCGACCGCGGGCATGCCGCGACGGAAGGCGTGGGGGGGGCGGCGGCGGACGAGGGGGAGGCTGAGTTGGTGGAGAAGAACGAGGGGGAAGCGACGGGGAGAGGGGAGGCGGAGGGAAGCCGAAAGGAGGAGAGGAAGGACGAGAGCAGCGGCAAAGAGCAGAATGCAGGGGGACAGGGGGTGAACGGGGAGGTGGAAGGAGGGGAGGGAAAGACGGAGGGGAGTGAGGGGGTTGCAGGGCGGCAGCAGGGCAGCAGGCGGGGGAGGTTGCGGGAGATGGTGCGGCGCGCGGAGCAGCAGCGGCGCGTGGTGGGGTACCTGGACGTGGGCAGGGAGGTGGCGCGCTCCGTGGAGCGCCACCACCGCGCACAGCACGGCGCGGGCGCGCCTAGGGGTGAGGGGCAGGCAGGCGGGGGGAATGGGGGCGAAGGGCAGGGGGGGCACGGGGACAGGGAGCACGGTGGTGGGGCGGGCAAACTCCCACTCCAGCACGGCCACGCGCCTCACCACGCCTTCACGGATTCCGCCCCCCTGCACGCCCCCCCGCTCGCGCCCCTGCACGCGCCCCTGCACGCCCCCCACTCCCCCCTCCGCGCGGGCGGGCGGTTGCAGCAGCTGCAGGCGGAGGAGTGGGGAGGCGGCGGGGAGGGGGGCATGGGGCGCGACGTGAGCACGAACAGCAACATGGGCGCGGCGGAGTGGCTGGAGGGGTGTTTGGAGGAGGAGGAGGAGTGGCAGCAGTGGCGCATCGACCCGCAGCAGCTGGTCATCAAGAGCTTCCTTGCACGCGGCACGTATGGCTCCGTGCACCGCGGGGAGTACCGCGGGAAGCAGGTGGCTGGTGCGTTGCAGGTATATGGGGCATGGGGTATGGGGCATGGGGTATGGGGCATGGGGTATGGGGCATGGGGTATGGGGCATGGGGTATGGGGCATGGGGTATGGGGCATGGGGTATGGCGTGTGGTCCGTGGGGCATGGAGCATGGGGTGGGGCATGGGGTATGGGGTATGTGGGGCATTGGGTATGGGGTATGTGGGGCATGGTGCATGTAGCTAGTATGGAACCCCGCATTCTCGCAATCAACGCACTTTGCCTGTTCCTCTGCATGCATATCTGGTGTGAATCTGCATGCGTGCATCAATCCATGATGCATATATGTGTGTGCATGGTGGTCACATGGTGCTCGCATGGGCAGTGAAGCTGATGGATTGGGGCGAGGTGGACAAGGCATCGCGTGCCAAGCTCACATTCCTGCGAGACGTGTTTGCACAGGAGGTGCTCGTTTGGAGCACACTGGAGCATAAGAACATCTGCCAGGTCAGTAGCTTAATACAGCACTTTTTAGCCATATATCTCACCCATCTATCCGCTGCTCGCACCACATTGAACCACATGCCCTGATTTGCTCGCTTCTGCTGCATGTTGATAGGCTTCTGCTTCAACATGTTCATCGCGTCAGCCTTTGCCCCCCCACCCCGGCTCCCCACCCCTGCCCCCGCCCTGCTTGTATGTGGTGTAAACCGTGCAGTTCGTGGGGGCGCTGCTGGGCGGGCCCGACTCGTACACCTTTCCGTCGACGGTGGAGGACCACCGGGGCGTGCTGCACGTGGGCAGCCATGTGTGCTCCTCCTCGCTTGTGCCATGTTCAACGCTGCCACCCCTGACCCCCTCCCCTCCCCCTGCGTGCGTGCGGTACGGCCTGTGCAGTTCGTGGGGGCGCTGCTGGGCGGGCCCGACTCGTACACCTTTCCATCCACGGTGGAGGATCACCGGGGCGTGCTGCGAGTGGGCAGCCACGTGTGCTGCGTGGTGCTGGAGTTCCTGGCGGGCGGCACGCTGAAGCAGCTGCTCATGAAGCACTATCACAAGAAGCTCTCCGTGCACCGTGTCGTGCACCTGGCACTGGATATTGCTGAGGGGTGAGGGGTGGTGAGGGATGAGAGGTGGTGAGGGGTGAGGCGCGGTGAGGAGTGAGGCACGGTGAGGGGTGAGGCACGGTGAGGGGTGAGGCACGGTGAGGGGTGAGGCACGGTGAGGGGTGAGGCATCATAACTGGCTATTTGGCATGATGGGTGTTGACTGTGATGGCACAGCAGGGTGGTAGGGTGGTTAGTTGCATGCACTGCTTCTTGTATTGCATTGATTCGCAGGCAGCCCCCGATCATCCTCTCTCATACCCATGTGCCTCTTTCTCTCTATCTGCGTTCCCTGTCGGGCGGCACAGGTTGGAGTATCTGCATTCAAGAGGCATCGTGCACCGCGATGTGAAGTCAGACAACATGCTGCTGGACAAACACCACCGGTGGGTGGGGGCACTGGGATGTCACCATGCTTGCGCTGCTGTATGTGAGCCTTGTGCCAGTCTGCCAGTGTCTGTGAGTGAGTGGTGTCAATCTGCGTCCATCAGGGTACCAGCCCCTCCATCGGATGGCTCACCGCACCTCACCCTCTGCCCTGCCTGTCCACGCATCCCCGTCCTTGCCGCTAAACCACTGCGTTCTCCCATCTTGCCTCACTGCGCTGCACTGCACTGCATGCATGCATGTATGTAGTTTAAAAAAAAAATCTGCACGCCTCGCAATCTGGGCCTGGAATAATATACAGCGAATGTAGGAGGACTCCCTGCAAGAAACAGAGAGTAGTACTTGGTTGTAAAAGTTCAATGAATCCCAGGTGTTTGATCAGGTGGTTAAAAGGGATGGCCCATAAAGGTCTCGAACCTGTGACCTTCGCGTTTTAGCACGACACTCTAACCAGCTGAGCTAATAGGCCTGTACTTGCATTATGTGCATCAATACGGAAACACATGCATGGGTGCATGCGTGCATGGATGCATGCATGCGTGCATGGGTGCATGGGTGCATGCATGCGTGCATGGGTGCATGGGTGCATTGTTAGGGTTGGTTCGCCCAACCACGGAACCTATGGCGAAAATCTCTACGACGGCGGAATGACGGCGAAATGGAAGCGCGTGGATGATTCTAGGTGAAACGGTGGAAATCGGCCTACGGCGTGACAAGGGAGAGAGAAATCGAGAAGGAATTTGTGAGAAGGAATTTGTGAGAAGGTGGAAGAAGCATCGAGATTGAAGTTGGCGAGGGGAAATTGTGGTTCGAGCTCGAGGCGTGTTCGAGAAGGTTCCAGATTCGGTCTTGAGGAGTGTTCACCGAATTCGGTTCGGTTGCGTGTGCGACTCGGGGTGAAACGAAGCACACGCGGTTACTTGGGAAACAAGTGAAGTTACGAATCGCATTTTGTACCTTGGTTGACTATAAAACTGCTTGTACTCATTCTGGAAATCACAACATTGATACCAATCAAATTCTGAAAATTGTTGAAGTGTGTATTGACAACTTCAAGCAAAGCTGCACATATCATTGGATTCGGGAGATCGTGGAGAACACGATAGGCGATAGCAAGTAGACTATTGCCGACTAAGGTGCTTACGATCCTAAGAACTGGTATCAGAGCTTGACGAACGGGCTCGTCGATCGTCGCGAATTCACTTGGTGCGCTAAGTGAAATTAGTGGAGAAGAGGAGTCATTCACGCCTACGCTATGGGAGACGAGGCGAGTTCGGGTTCCAGTGTGAGTCTTGGAGACCCGCAGTTGAAGGCTCTTCTCGAGGCCCTTGCGAGTGGCCGATTGGTGGCGAAACCGACGATCGGGCTCAGTGAAGCCCAGCGCTTCAATGGAAGCAACTACAACGTGTGGAGAAAGAAGTTCATTCGAAGGGAAGAGGAAGTGGACCTCTTGCCGTACTACCGTCCCGACGAGGAGACAATGGAGGGAGTTGCGCCTTCCACGACGGACACGAAGGAGAAAATAGCGGCGTTTAAAAAGCAAAGTAAGCAAGCTTTCTTTCAGCTTTGTCATTCAGTTGCCGATGGAATCGCGGTGGATTTGGACCAGTTTGCAAGGGAGCTGAACTCTGCACAGAAAGCGTGGGAGTACCTGGAGTCCACATACATGGGTACGAACGATGTCAACAAAAAGGCGATCAGGAAGCAACTGCTGACGCTGAGCATGGAGAAAGGCGAGAAAATCATCACCTACATCAACAGGGCGAAAAGCTACAACGACGATTTGCGGGTGATGGGAGCCGCGGAGACGGAGCACGAGATGATTGACTATATCATCAAAGGACTTCCTAAAGAGTGGGAATCCCACATCGGTATGTTTACGTACCAACCGCCGAGAGTTTGATGAAGCTGCAGGAGATTCTACAGTCGCTTGAGACGGTTAAGGAGATGAGAAAGAAGAAAGCAGCAGCAGTAGCTAAGGAGTTTGATGAGGAGAGGCCCGCTTTGGTGAATGCCACGAAGGCGTTTGGAGCATGCTACCAGTGTGGAAAGCGCGGGCATAAGGCGATAAACTGCTACGACAATCCGCGAAGCAGACACTACAAGGGCAAAGCTGTGGAGAACGACAAAGGAGAAAATGCAGGAGCGGAGTGGCAGCAGAAACGAGGTTTTGGCGGCAAGTGTGATTACTGTGGGCGCTACGAGCATCGTGCTGCAGAATGCTACTCCAATCCGAAAAGCAGGAGCTACAAGGGTCCGTCGCAGCAAAGGAATGTGGCGACAAAGGCGAATGTAGCGGAAGCGGAAAATGAGGATGTGATTTTTGGAGGAGCCTATCTTGCAAACGTGGTGCGTTTACCGAAGGATGTTCGTCAGACGGACGGACGTGAAAAGACGGCATGGTTCATGGACAGCGGATGCACGCGTCACATAACATTCAGGTCAGATTGGATGGAGAATGTGAGAGAGTCGAGTGAGCGTTATATATTGCAAGGTAACAGTGGGAAGTTGCCAGTGACAGGAGAGGGCGACGTAGTGCTGCGGAGTCCGTATGGAGTAGTGAAACTGGAGAGTGTGTTGCTGGTTGCGGATTTGAAGGTGAACTTGGTCAGTCAGTCACAGCTTGATGACTTGGGGTGCAAGATATTCTATGACAGAGGTGAGGTGACTGTTTTTTGTCCTAAGTGGGAGAAGTATGCGGATGGTTATTTCAGTGACGGTTTCTACGAGATGAACTTGGTCGCGATGAACGATAAGGATGAGATCTATGACGATCCTGAGTCTACTGAGGATGATGAGAGTGAGGTCTCGGAGGATACGGCAGCAAGTGTCGAGGCAGCAGTGAAGCAGGAAGAGGAGATAGTGATCACGGATGTGACGAAAGTGAACGATGGAGATGGAGACGGTGTCAACACATTTGCAGCAACGATCGTGATTGAAGATGAAGCAGTAAATGCAAAGTGTGTGGGAGTTGAAGCTGTGAAAGGGGACATCATGTTGAAAGGATCAAAGGCGAATGCAACTGCAAAGGGGCAAGTGCTTAAGGAGGATGAACGCGTTGAAGGGTACGAGACCCGAGAGGTGTTGGGTGGAAAGATGCCGAGGAGAAGCGAGAGGCATAAGAAAATCTCTCAAGGTTTGGATGTCAAGGCGCTCAACTTCAAGACACGTAAGCAGAGGTTCAAGGTGCAGGAGCTGCGAGGGAGCGTGAAGCCGACTTAGACCCTCTGAAGGCTACAAGGAGCAGGGAAGGAATGCGAGTGGAGTTCGTGGTTGACGAACCACAGGGGAGATTGTTAGGGTTGGTTCGCCCAACCACGGAACCTATGGCGAAAATCTCTACGACGGCGGAATGACGGCGAAATGGAAGCGCGTGGATGATTCTAGGTGAAACGGTGGAAATCGGCCTACGGCGTGACAAGGGAGAGAGAAATCGAGAAGGAATTTGTGAGAAGGAATTTGTGAGAAGGTGGAAGAAGCATCGAGATTGAAGTTGGCGAGGGGAAATTGTGGTTCGAGCTCGAGGCGTGTTCGAGAAGGTTCCAGATTCGGCCTTGAGGAGTGTTCACCGAATTCGGTTCGGTTGCGTGTGCGACTCGGGGTGAAACGAAGCACACGCGGTTACTTGGGAAACAAGTGAAGTTACGAATCGCATTTTGTACCTTGGTTGACTATAAAACTGCTTGTACTCATTCTGGAAATCACAACATTGATACCAATCAGATTCTGAAAGTTGCTGAAGTGTGTATTGACAACTTCAAGCAGAGCTGCGCATATCATTGGATTCGGGAGATCGTGGAGAACACGATAGGCGATAGCAAGTAGACTATTGCCGACTAAGGTGCTTACGATCCTAAGATGCATGCATGCGTGCATGGGTGCATGCATGCGTGCATGGGTGCATGCATGCGTGCATGGGTGCATGGGTGGGTGCATGCGTGCATGTATGCATTCATGCATGTGTGGATGTGTGCATGTGTGCATGCGTGCATGCGTGCATGTGTGCATGTGTGCATGTGTGGATGTGTGCATGTGTGCATGTGTGCATGCGTGCATGCGTGCATGTGTGCATGTGTGCATGTGTGGATGTGTGCATGTGTGAGTGTGTGCATGTGTGCGTATGTGCATGTGTGCGTGTATGCATGTGTGCGTGATGTGCATGCATGCATGACCACAGGGTGGTGAAGATAGCAGATTTTGGGGTGTCACGGGTGAAGTCGGACAGCAGCACCATGCACCACAAGACCGGCACCTACGGCTACATGGCGCCTGAGGTAGGATCCTCTGCCTCCACACCCATACTTGCATGCTTGGCGCCTCAGGCATGCGTGCTTGGCGCCTGATGCATGCTCATTGCCACTGATTCAATGCTTGCCACCCTTGCTTGCTTATCGCATCCCTCCTCGTTTTGTCCAATTCTTGCCTCTCCGCTACCCCCCCCCCCCCTTGTTGCTGTGCTCTGCTGCACCTCACTGCATCTCCCCCCTGCTCCTCCCTGCCCCGCCGGCCACCAGGTGTTGAAGGAGCGGCCGTACGACCACAAGGCGGACGTGTACAGCTACGGCATCCTGCTGTGGGAGATCTACTGCTGCGACAACCCCTTCCCCTACTCCGACCTCGACCCCACTGAGATCGCCTCCACTGTCAACCAGGTGCCTCCACTGTCAACCAGGTGCCTCCACTGTCAACCAGGTGCCTCCACTGTCAACCAGGTGCCTCCACTGTCAACCAGGTGCCTCCACTGTCAACCAGGTGCCTGCACTGTCAACCAGGTGCCTGCACTGTCAACCAGGTGCCTGCACTGTCAACCAGGTGCCTGCACTGTCAACCAGGTGCCTGCACTGTCAACCAGGTGCCTGCACTGTCAACCAGGTGCCTGCACTGTCAACCAGGTGCCTGCACTGTCAACCAGGTGCCTGCACTGTCAACCAGGTGCCTGCACTGTCAACCAGGTGCCTGCACTGTCAACCAGGTGCCTGCACTGTCAACCAGGTGCCTGCACTGTCAACCAGGTGCCTGCACTGTCAACCAGGTGCCTGCACTGTCAACCAGGTGCCTGCACTGTCAACCAGGTGCCTGCACTGTCAACCAGGTGCCTGCACTGTCAACCAGGTGCCTGCACTGTCAACCAGGTGCCTGCACTGTCAACCAGGTGCCTGCACTGTCAACCAGGTGCCTGCACTGTCAACCAGGTGCCTGCACTGTCAACCAGGTGCCTGCACTGTCAACCAGGTGCCTGCACTGTCAACCAGGTGCCTGCACTGTCAACCAGGTGCCTGCACTGTGAAATGAATATGCGCTTCACATGAGGCAATGCTCTTCCCATCCCTGGCTCACCGTCGCTGCTAGCTTCACCCGATTGGCCTCTGCATGCCTCCCAACCTCCAACCTCCACCACCATGCCCCCTGCTTCGTCACTTGCTCCTTTTCCCACAAGCCTCCCATATTTCCCCTTCATTGCTACTCCCACTCTCTCACAACCAGCCGCCCTTCCCCCCTCACCATGCACCCATGTGTCACCTCACCATGCACCCATGTGTCACCTCACCATGCACCCATGTGTCACCTCACCATGCACCCACGTGTCACCTCACCATGCACCCATGTGTCACCTCACCATGCACCCATGTGTCACCTCACCATGCACCCATGTGTCACCTCACCATGCACCCATGTGTCACCTCACCATGCACCCATGTGTCACCTCACCATGCACCCATGTGTCACCTCACCATGCACCCATGTGTCACCTCACCATGCACCCATGTGTCACCTCACCATGCACCCATGTGTCACCCCTCCTGTCGCACGTGCCAGGGCCTGCGGCCGGACATCCCATCGTGCTGCCCGCCACAGCTGGCGGAGCTGATGCGGCGGTGCTGGCACGGCGAGGCGGGCAAGCGGCCGGACATGAGTGAGGTGGTGAGGCGCCTCAAGGCTATTGACTGCCGCCACGCCACGCCCATGCGCCCCGTGGAGGGCGATGACTCCTCCTGCTCCCTCATGTGATGTCACTGCCGCAAGGCAATGCATTGCCACCCTTTGATAATGGGTGAGATGGCGTTACAGACAGCCCTTTCCGCCTTGCTGAATCGCCTCTGAGGCCAATGCAACCTGTGCAGGATGAGTCGGGTATGGTGTTCTCATGTGGACTCTGGTGAACTTCTATGTTGTGGAAAGAATTAGAGGGTATTCCGTATGTCCCTGTACAGAAGTGCCCTGTAATACCATAGCACCTTCTGGTGGCTTCAGGGAAAAGGGTGCCTATCTGAACAGCCCCTTCCTGATTTATGGGCCACCAATATTTCCGCCCCTTGGGCATCAACTAGGGACCATTTGGTTGAACAGCTGCACGAGGACTTCCTAGATATACTGTCGAGGCCAAGATGGTATGGTAGATAATGCTAAGTTGTTGAATGGCTGTTTTGTATACGGATGCTATCTTAGAAGATGTTTTCGCTGTAAGCAAAGCACCCTGTCGTGAAGCTGTGAAAGGGCAGCCCCCTAGTCTCCCGAACACGCTGCCAGACCCGAGAGGAGAGTCCAGCAGAATGGAAACCTGCGCGACAGAAAAGGCAAAGAACTGGAAGTGCGTGCCAAGCAAAGAACTACGAAGTGGATGCCTTGCTCGTACGAGTGGAAACGCACGCGAGGAACGCGATTGTGCAGCGCGGAATAATAGTCCGAGAGTAAATAACGACATTGTACGTCGACCTCGCATTTCCTCCCCTGGTAAATGCACACCCCTTTACCGCTGCCCCTGCTTCACCTACCATCGCCCGCGCCGTCCGACCTAGCTACAACTTCCCTTCGCCTCACTTCAATTTCGCGTCGCCCTCACTTCCCTTTCCCCAATGACCCTAAACCATGAACATGAACTGTCATAACTACACCCTCAGGTTCAGTCAAAGTTGACGAGCCGAATTGCGCAGTTACGGAAAACCCAGCAGTGAACGAAGTTGGACCAGCCCTAATCTCGTTACACCGTTCTTGGCTCCCTGCACCAGAGCACGCTGTGCTGTGCTCTCGCTGCGAGCACGTCAGGCCCACTGCCATCACCCAGCGCTCCGCTCATCACGGATCAGCGAGGTCCGCGTCGCGTCACTCGAAACATTTTCAATTGGAGCATCCTTCGTTCCTCTCAGCTGCGCGCATACGTACCTGGCCTTTGCGCAACTTTTCTCCTTGCTACGACCCTCGCTGTCATGGCCCGCTGGGCCCCCCACTCCGTGCTGCTCTTGGTGCTCGCAGCCGTGGCGCTCCTCGCCTTCCTTTCCACCCTCCGCACGCGCCTCGACCCATCCCGCCTTCCAGATGCACCCTCCAGCGCCCCGTCTCCCCACCGCCACAGCCGCCACTCCAGCTACCGCCGGCGCCTGGAGACTCGGCGGGGCAATCCCGGGCGGAAGGCGGTTCGGCTGCACGCGGCGACGGCGGAGGCGAACCCGCGGCTGGAGCACATCACGTTCGACCCGCTCGTGGCGGAGATGGAGGCGCAGCGCGACGACCGCAAGTGGGAGGAGGCGCAGTTCCGCCGGCGCGGGGAGGAGGTCCGCGTAGCGCACGTCGCCAAGGCGCGGGGAGAGGGTGACGCGGGTGGCGGGCGGAGAAGTGTGGAAGAGGCGTCGAGGATAGAAGCGGCGGATGAAGAGTTGAGGCGGCTGGAGGACAACCCCAACCCCAACCCAGGTGGGCACGTGGGCGGGCAGGGCGCGCATGAGCACAGTGTGGCAGGGCGGGGGGTGGCTGCTGTGACGCACCTGAGTGTACGCAGTGAGTGGGGTGGGGACACAGCAGAGGAAGTAGTCGGTGTTGGCACGGTTTCAATGTGCCAATGTGCGCCGTGTACTGTGCGCACATGCGTGGTGTGAGACGCCATGTCGCTCGGTGCATGTGTTCCATTCCATGACAACCTCTGCCGTCCCACTGTAACCTTCGCCTTGTTTCTGCTTCTCCTGTGCCCGTGCCCATACACTTGCCCGTGCCTCTGGGTTTGCCTGTGTCGTGCATGCGTGGAGTGGCAGAGGCGGGGGAGCACAAGGTGAATGTGACGAACCGCCTGAGGGTGCTGTTCCCGCTCATTGACAGTGACGACAGGGACGGGCTCGTGTCGCTCAGTGAACTCGCCATGTGGCAGGTACGCCATGTGGCAGGTACGCCATGTGGCAGGTGCGCCATGTGGCAGGTACGCCATGTGGCAGGTACGCCATGTGGCAGGTACGCCATGTGGCAGGTACGCCATGTGGCAGGTACGCCATGTGGCAGGTACGCCATGTGGCAGGTACGTCAGTCGCCATGTGACAGGTATGCCATCATGCGCTGCACTCACATCAGTGCCATGCTGGTCGCCATGTTGTGTTGACATGACATGCCCTGTGAGGCCACACCATCCTCCTCCCCCCTCTTGCTCGGCACCGCCTCATGTCCCTCCCTGCATCCGCCCTGTCTCCCTCAACACCTCTCGTGCCCGCCGGACTCCACTCTGTCCTGCACCTCCCCCACCCCCTCCCATGGGAGCCTCCAGGTGCAGCAGGGGCACCGGAGCAGTGAGCGGCGCACGCGGAGGGAGATGCAGGTGGTGGACAGCGATGGGGACGGCAAGGTGTCGCTTAAAGAGTACCTGCATGATGACTCGCCGGGGGAGGAAGGTGGGCACTGGAAGGGAGGGGGTTGAAATGTGTGTTCTGGGTCGACTCAACAGAGGTGGTGGACAGCAATGGGGATGGCAGGGTGTCGCTCAAGGAGTATCTGCACGACAACACGCCGGGGGAGGAAGGTGGGCACTCATAAGCAGCAGGGGCTTTTGAGTCGACTCAAAAGAGATGCAGGTGGTGGACGGCAATTGGCAGGGTGTCGCTCAACGATTGCCTGCATGATGACTCGCCGGGGGAGGAAGGTGGGCACGGGAGGGGGTCAATACTTGAAACGCAGCAAGTGTGTCATGCAGGATGAGGTGAGGTAAGGAGGATGATGACGTGGAAAAAGTGGGTGAGTGGCTTGTGTGTTTGAAAACTCAATCAAGATGCTCCATTTGGAGGGACAACTTCCTTGCTCCTGCACCCCACCATCACCCTGCATAAATTCACTTGCACCTCCCTAAAGCCTAACTAAACCCAAACCTGGAAAATAAACCTGGTGGTGGGTGCATGACGTGGCATGGTGCAAGTGTGTGTGGCACGGTGCGTGTGTGTGTGGCATGGTGTGTGTGTGGCACGGTGCGTGTGTGTGTGGCATGGTGCGTGTGTGGCATGGTGTGTGTGTGGCATGGTGCGTGTGTGGCATGGTGTGTGTGTGGCATGGTGCATGTGTGGCATGGTGCATGTGTGGCATGGTGCATGGTGTGGTACAGTCCACGTGGAGGGCGACGACGACATGGCTGAGTTTGTGAAGACGGCCAGGGAGCGCTTTGCACTGGCGGATTCAGATGGTGACGGGCTGCTCAACGAGGACGAGTTTAACGAGTGAGATGTCGCCGCATGCCGCCCTCCTGCCACGTGCCCACCATGCCTTGCTGTGCAATTATCTGTCGCTGGGTGCGTGCCATTCAATATATTTCATCATGTGCTCGCAGCATCTGTGTCTGCCCTTTCCGTCCTGACTGCCGCCATGAGCTCTCTCCCCCACCCCACTCCCCTGTCATGCGTGTGCGGCAGTCTGCTGCACCCAGAGGACAGTCAGAATGAGAAGCTGATAGACTCCGTCCGAGATGAGGAGCTCAGGTCAGCCATGCCATGCCTGTCATGCCTGCCACGCCATCCGTGCCTGTTGTGCCATGCCTGCCTGCTGTTCCAGACCTGCCATGCCGTACCCTGCTGTCCCATGCCATACTGTCCTTCGCCATGCTGTTCTGTGCCGTGCGGTGCCATACCGTGCATGCCGTGTCATGCCATGCCATGGCATGCTGTGTTGTGCCATGCCATGCTGTGCTTCCATGCTATGCTGTGCCATGTGATCCATGCCGTCCATGTGATCCATGCCGTCCATGTGATCCATGCCGTCCATGTGATCCATGCCGTCCATGCCCTCTTCCCTCGGTCCCCCAGAGCATCTTGCTCGTCGTGAGCCTTGGTAGAAAGCAGGCTGTGTTTCTGCTCTGTAAAACTCCCACTTGTGCCTGTGCTCGCCGTGTGTGTGCTCGCCATGCTGCAGGGCGCGGGACACGGACGGGGACATGCGACTGAGTTTTGAGGAGTTTCTGGAGAATGTGTTTGAGGAGGTGGCGCAGTTTGACGAGGAGTATGCGCGCTGGGAGGCGCACCGCTATGACGTCACCAGTGACGACTACGTGCCGCCCGACATAGCGCACGGCAGCAAGGACGTGGAGCACATGAGCGCAGCGGAGAAGCGGGCACATGCACGCACGCGATTCGATCAAACGGACGCCAATCATGACGGGTGCGTGGTGCAGTGGCAGGGTGGCGTGTTGTGGTGGATGAAGATGCTGACAGACAGTGACGCCAGCCTCGTGCATCGCTTCTATAGTCAACCGTGTCTCGCTCTCTCACACGAGTGTGTTCACGGCTGCTTGCTGTGTGGGAGTAGTTCAGCGTTTCCAGCATGTCAATCCTGAAAAAAAAAAAACGCTCCTTGAAATTTTCATTTCTTGATTCACATGTGCTTGCACTGGTTGGTGGGCAATGGGCATGCACCAGGTACCTGGATGCGAGTGAGTTTGAGGACCTGCTGTATGCCATCGTGCCCAACGAGTACCACTTTGCCGAGGAGCAAGCCAAGCACATGATGATGGAGGTGAGCACATGATGATGGAGGTGAGCACATGATGATGGAGGTGAGCGCACGATGATGGAGGTGAGCACATATGATGGAGGTGAGCACATGATGATGGAGGTGAGCACATGATGATGGAGATGAGCACATGATGATGGAGGTGAGCACATGATGATGGAGATGAGCACATGATGATGGAGGTGAGCACATGATGATGGAGGTGAGCACATGCTGATGGAGGTGAGCACATGATGATGGAGGTGAGCACATGATGATGGAGGTGAGCACACGATGATGGAGGTGAGCACATGATGATAGAGGTGAGCACATGATGATGGAGGTGAGCACACGATGATGGAGGTGAGCACATGATGATAGAGGTGAGCACATGATGATGGAGGTGAGCACACGATGATGGAGGTGAGCACATGATGATGGAGGTGAGCACATGCTGATGGAGGTGAGCACATGATGATGGAGGTGAGCACATGATGATGGAGGTGAGCACATGATGATGGAGTGAGCACATGATGATGGAGGTGAGCACATGATGATGGAGGTGAGCACATGATGGTGGAGGTGAGCACATGATGATGGAGGTGAGCACATGTAGGCGCCACATGGCTTGTCTCTCTGGCTTGGATAACTGGATTGCTGCGGTGCCTAACTTGGATAATGTGGTGGTGGTGGTGGTGTGAATGCGGCATGTGACGGCAGGCGGATGACAACAAGGATAAGCGATTGTCATTGGAGGAGATGTTGGCGCACTGGGATGTGTTTTACGATGCCATGGATGAGGAGGGGGATGACTCGTATCACTGGCCATCAGACGATGACCATGATGAGTTAAGATGACTTAATTTGACTCAATGTACACTCTCCACAAATTTTATGTACTGTATCAATCAAGTCGTATGTATTGTTTGCTTATAGATTCTGAATTTTTGCATGGTAAGAGTTTCGAAAAGGCGCTCGAACATAAATGTTTGACAAGAGGTTCGAACCTCAATATTCTTGGTAGTCGACTACAGAGTCGACCTGGAACCGCAGTTAAAACCTGAAGAAAAATGTAAACCTTCCATTCTGTGCCAAAAGCAGCATGCCTTAATACAGGTAATACCGTACTTGAAGGTTCTGGTATAAAGCTCCGTTCACTATCGAACTCCCTATATCGCATGTCGTACATTCTTCGCAGACGTACTTCGCACCGCAAAGCAACCATCGCTTTTGTTCTCCCGCTTCTTGCGCCGCCGACACTTTCACATGACCAGCACCAAAGCGCGATCCCGCAAGCGTGTGATGTGAAATGCAGCCCATGACTATTCTGTACGTTTTCTGGGCTACACACGGATAAATCCCACCTCCCTTTGGTTCGCTCGGGAGATTGTACATGGGTCACGGGTGTTCAAGACGGCGGCATATAAGTAGAAAAGTCGAATTTAGTGCAGAGTCCTCTTTATGTCTCCGCCCACTCGCTCCCACAGATGTTATTCCTGCCCCTAAACAGCCCCAATATTTCGTGGTAAGCACTGAAATTATAGTTGCCACCACACGACATTGTCGTGCCACTTGTTGCCAAAAGTGCACTGTTCAGCTCTGGAGCAAATGCGAGTCGTGACGAGCAGGCGAACCTCAGTGTTAAATCGAAGGCAGCCACGTGCAGTTATGAAGTTACATTTTTCTTGACGAAGTCCGAGCCACCCATACCGAACCTCCCAACAGTCGGTCTGGTGTGGGGCTCCCACGCCGACCAGAAAATGGCAGGCTGGCTCCCAAATGGTCGGCGCTTTGGGATTGGTCACGTTCAAATTTATCAAACATTTGGCCTTCAAATTGTGTCGTATACTCGGTGGTATCGTCGGATCAAAATCCACATTGGTTTTTAGCGCGGATATAGTTCAGAGTGGCAGAACAGGCCACTTTCTCCCTCAAAAGCCCTGCCACACCATGCACGGCACAGGTAAGCACTTGGTGTGACTGCAGGTGGGATTCAGTTCAGACACCCCTAATTACAGATCTGTACTACAGAAAGGCTCTTCCTTCATTGTCTTCAACTGCAGCACAGCTGGACCCATTCCCCGCTGGTGTCACAAACCACCCACACGAGTTCGAAAACTACCTCGCATTCAGAGTGGAGCTCGGTTCCGTTCCGTTCGGTTGTTCTTCCTTCCATTGCCTGGTTCCCATCAGGCGTGGTTTCACCCTCCCAGTGTCTCAAACATTACTATCAAAGAACGGCTGAAGTGACTTCTCGGGAAGTCACTTGAATATCTAGAATCAAGCTTCAGGCTGGACGCAGAGCTGTGAAGCCAGGTGGATGGTATACTTTATCCCAGGACCAATTCAGAGGTACTTCATCAACCCACCAACGGTTGGACCTGCGTTTGACAGATCTGACAGATCTTCCTAGTCGACTAGTGGAAGAAACGCAGAGGGGGCTACAGTACTACATGATTAGTTTTGGCTAGTGTGGTAAGGACGTAGCCGCAGAGATGGGTGATAACATATCTGTTGGTAGAACAGCCAGCAACGGCGACCCCAGCAGGAACTCCCTCCTCCCGGGCTGCCAGATTGGCCACCACACCATCATAAATTTGATTCTCAGGGGCCTTGTCCCAGTGTTCAACGGCAGGGCCTTCCGGGCCTCAGTAGCGGACGGCAGGCTGCTGCCGTGTGGTGGCACAATGCGAGAGCAGCCACCACCCCATCATGGTTTCCAAATGCCCTCACCCAGTGACCTTCCGGGGCGTTCAGTTCAACGGCAGGCCTTCCGTGCCTCACTGGTAGACGGCAGGCTGCCGCAGTGTGGTGACACGATGCCGCTGCAGCTCCAGCCGTCGCCGACTACCCAACCCTGGTGGCCAGGTGCTGCAGGTCTTCAGGATCCCATCCAGATGATGAGTCATCATGCAGTGCCATTAGGAGAAAAGCATAATGATAACGAGGATGATGATGGTATCGACGACAATGATGATGATGACGGCACCAATCGACGAGCTGCCGATCGCCAAGTGAATGCTGGTCACTTGGATAACGTTTCTACTGGAAGAAAATATATACCACCTGCCACGGCTTCTGAGGCGCCTCCGAATTCATCTGAAGCCGTCAGGCTCATCGAAGGCCTCCTTCGAACCCAGGCTGGTTCGGGTTCCGAATCACCCTTTCCCGAGGCTGCACAAGCTGCAGCAGCCAGGACTGTAGTCCGTGCTGATGCTGCAGGAGATGGCGCCAGTCAAGGGGTTGCGGCAGCAGGATCCCTTGTATCCCCTGCTACAGCCAGCCCGCCACGCGCTGCTGCTACTGAAGCATCCCATGCTAGAGTGGCAGAGGGAGGGGAGCAAGGGCAAGGGCCCCAGTGTGGCACAAGCGGAGCGTATCTAGGCAGAAAGGACAACACTGGTGTTGCTGCTTCTATGGTTGCTACTGCGTCAGATGCTGCTCCAACTGCTACTGCTGCTGACATAGCTGCTACCGCTAGTGCTGCTGCCGCAGCTGCTACTGCTACTGCTGCTGCTACAGCTGCTACTGCTACTGCTGCTGCCATAGCTGCTACTGCTACTGCTGCTGCTACAGCTGCTACTGCTACTACTGCTGCCATAGCTGCTACTGCTACTGTTGCTGCTATCGCTATTGCTGCTGCAGCTGCTGCTCCTGATTTTGCTACTCACACCAGGACACCGGGCAACGTGCCAAGCACCGCCTCCCCCACATGCACGCGTGGAGCCCTCCCAAGCCAGCATTCAACTCTTCTCTCCTCGCTTACCGCTCTGCAGGCCAGAGTATCCGCGTTACAAGCACTCGTTCGGATCCCTTCCCAGGTACTAGGCTGTTCGGATTTTCCCCTTGCCGAGCCTTGCCCCGATTTCCCGTTCCCATTTCCTCTTTCTCTTGCTCAGAGTTGTACCGATGGCTCATCCTGCTGCTGATCACAAGCTGCTATCAATCCACAGTTATGACTATATTGCGGACATTGCACCACATGATCATCAAACACTACTGCCGTTCTCACCACTTGCATTTGCCGACCTTGTTTCAGCACTCTATCTCTTGGCCTCTCCTGTCTCTCCGCCCTGATTCAGCAGCAGCAGGAGGGAATGGAGAAGGAGAAGGACCAGCACGAACAAGTGGGGGAGGAGGCGGAGGAGGAGGAGGAGGAGGAGGAGGAGGAGGAGGAGGAGGAGGAGGAGGAGGAGGAGGAGGAGGAGGAGGAGGAGGAGGAGGAGGAGGAGGAGGAAGCAAAAGGGGATAAGGAAGAACAGGAGGAGGTGGGAAACAAGGAGGAGGAAGAGGAACAGCCACAGCAGCAGAACGTGAAGCAACAGCAGAAACGGCAGCAGCAGCAACAGCAGCAGCAGCAGCAGCAGCAGCAGCAGCAGCAGCAGCAGCAAGAGCAGGAGCAGGAGCAAGGGGAATATGTAAAGGAGAAGGATAAGGAGGACGAAAAACAGGATCAAGAGAAGCAGGTGTTGGAGAAGCAGAGGAAGCAGCAGCGAGATGCGGTGGCAGTGGGAATAGTTGGCATGATCAAGAACCTCGCTGTAGCTGCTGCAAGCCTGCTTCCAGCCCACCAGCAGAACAGTGCACTCCTTCCCCTGCTCCCCCTGCTGCCGAACCTGCAAGCTTCACCGACTCTTCCAAGGCAGGGTCGGCCAAGCCAAGCTTTGCCAAGCCAGGGTGTGATGGTTGAAGCAAGTAAGGAAGGTTCAGGTCCGATGGCTCAGGGACAAGCAGGCGAGAACGAGGAGATGAGGGGCGAGGAAAATGAGCGAGGAAGGGAAAGCATGGATATTAAAAAAGAAGAGGAAGAGGAAGGAGGGGATGAGGGGGGGAATGATGATGATGACGATGCCGAGGCGGAGAGTCTCAAGGATAAAGAAGAAGAGGAAGGCGACAGAGAAAGGGAAGGCAAAGACGAAGGAGAAGATGAAGAAGAAGAGGAAGGCGAAGGCAAAGTGGAAGGGGAAGGAGAAGAGGAAGGTGAAGGAGAAGAGGAAGGTGAAGGAGAAGAGGAAGGTGAAGGAGAAGAGGAAGGTGAAGGAGAAGAGGACGGCGAAAGAGAAAATGAAAGCGAAGGGGAAGAGGACGGCAAAAGGGAAGAGGAAGAAGGAGAGGAAGAGGAAGGAGAAGAGGAAGAGGAAGAGGAAGAGGGGGAAGAAGAGGAAGAGGAAGAGGAAGAGGAGGAGGAAGAGGAAGAGGCAGAGGAGAGAGACGAGGAAGAGGAAGAGGATGCAAAGGAGGAGCAGGATAGGGTGCAGGAGAGGGAACGACTGCAAGGGGGATTACGAGGAGCCAAAGAGGTGCAATCATGGTCCGAGTTCCCAAGAACAGGCCATTCGAGAGCCAAGGAGCGACTCAATGCTCCCCAGACAAGGCTTCACAGTGGCGAGTCTGCTGACGTGGGAAGCTTGGCATGGGAAACTGGGCAGAAGCGCAAGCATCGCGATGTGGAGCAGTGTGGCGGGGTGCAGCACAGCGCGGAGCAGTGTGACGGTGAGCAACGTGGCGGGGAGCAGTGGGATGGGGGGCAGTGGGACGGGGAGGTGACTCCTCGCAGGCACAAGAAGCTGAAGCGGCTATTGCTACAGGCAGCGCTGCAAGAAAGCATGCCCCAGGAAGGGGCAGAGGTACAGGGAGGAGTGGCAGCAACAGCAGCAGAGGTGCTGTCAGCAGCACCACTACCAGAATCAGCGGCAGAAGCAGCAGCACCAGCAGCACAAACAGACGCACCTGTATCAACAGCAGCAGTAACAACAGCAGCACCAGCAGCAGCAGTAACAGCAACAGCACCACCAGCAGCAGTAGCAGTAACAGCAGCAGCAGAACCACAAGCAGTAGCAATAATAACAGCATTTACAGCAGTAGCAGCAGAAGGATCAGCAGCAGCAGCAACAGCAGCAGCAGCCGAGGCAGGAGAAGGGCACACGAAAAATAATGTTAGCTCTGATCCAGGGCAGGTTGCGGTTGACTGGGATTTGAGGGGAGTAGGCAACGCTGAAGGAAATCAGGAGGTTGCAAGGGGGGCTGTGAGGGCGGGAGTAATGCAGGAGGCTTCAGACGGGTCTGGGCCCTCATCTGGCTTCACTGCCCATCCCGACACGCTCTATGCTTCGAGGTGTCTCCTCTGGCCCTGCTTGTGTTGTTGCTCTGTTCCTCCTGCCTTTGCTAGAAAAAAAAATAGCGTCTAAATTCAGAACTACCTCTGCTCCTACTTGTGATTTTCCCAGAGGTCACTTTATGACCCTCCTCTCTACCATATTCCAGCCAACCCGCTCTCCCTCATTCTTTAGAAATTTACTTCGGCCCTCCCTCCCTCCGCAACCATCCCTCAGCTCCTTCCCCACGGCCATCAACTGCCCCTAGCAAGGCTGCTAGCACAACGAGCAGCATGCTTGCTTCTTCCTTTGTCTCATCTTCTTCCCTTGTCCAACTCCCCTCTTCCTCTCCGCACCACAACCTCAGCTCCTCCTCCACGGCCATCACCTGCCCCGAGAAAGGCTGCCAGCACAACGAGCAGCACCCGCGCTTCCGCCCGCTCAAGTCCCTGGCATCGCTCCACACCCACCACCTCCGTGTGCACGGCAACAAGCCCTTCACGTGCTCCCTGTGCCAGGTGACCCACTCTTCTCAATTCTCTCTTCTCCTCTTCTCTCCTCTCCTCTCCTCTCCTCTCCTCTCCTCTCCTCTCCTCTCCTCTCCTCTCTTCTCTTCCCTTCTTCTATCCTCCAATCGCTTCTCCTTGAATCTCCTCTCATCATATATATCTCATATCTTTCTAGTCTTTCTGCTCATGGGTGGTGGTCTGATCATATGGCAACACTACCCTTATGGCAACCCAATCATCCTGTTTCTCTTCCTTCCTCTCCTCAGGTCAAGTCGTTTGGCCTTCAGTCTGACCTGCGGGGACATGAGAAGCAGTGCGGTGTAAAGCGGTGGCACTGCTCCTGCGGGAACTCCTTCAGCAGAAAGGACAAGCTAGCCAACCACCTCAACACGTTCACGGACCACTCCCCTCTCTACAACCTCCAGCCAGTTGCCATCCCGATTCAGCCCAAGCAGAAGCTGCAGCAGCGGAAGCAGCTTGCAGTTCAGACGAAGCAGCTACAGGAGCAGACGAAACAGCTAGAGGCGCAGACAAATAAGCTAGAGGAGCAGACGAAGCAGCTAGAGGCGCCACAAAGTGGCAGCCTCATGAACATTGAAGTCATGAGGCAAGCTCTGGCGAGTCACCTGGTGCGCTCTGCGAGCTATGCTTCCGAGAGGAATCATACTTGGGGCCAAAACGCTGAGGAGAGAAATGCTTTGGAGAACAATGGCTCACAGGGGAGCGAGGCTAGGAGTGGGTACGTGTCGTTGCTGCTGCAGGAGGCCCTAGGATCGGACCTAGAGAGCCCCTTGCAAAGAGAGGGCTTCGAGTGGGGTCACCAGTCTCATCCTTCTCAGCTGGCTCAGCACACCCAGCAGACTTGGCAGATGCAGCAGGGACAGCAGACCCAGCAGTATCAGCCAATTCAACAGCCCCCACTGATGCATGAGGCACAAGCAACCCCTGATATTGCCACCCTGCCAGGTAGCACGTCTGTTCCACCCCAGCAGCAACTACCCGTGCCCTTGGTACAAAGTACCCTACCCTTGCCGCAGCACCCCCCCTCCCTACCCATACCACAGCAACACCTCTCCCTACCCCCGCAGTCAGAACACGTGCCATTCTCTCAGCCAGCCCAATTTTCCACATAGCCTCTCCAAGCCATAGCCCCACTCCAGCCTGCACAGAAAATGCAGTCAACACAGTCAACGTGGCCTACGCAATGCTTTCCACCTGTGCAGCCCCTGGTACAAGACCGGTCCGTGCAGTCAATGCAGCCAGTGCAGTCAACGCAGCCAATACAGTCAATCCATCCAGTACAGTCAATCCAGTCAATCCAGTCAATCCAGTCAATGCAGTCAATGCAGTCAATGCAGCCAATGCAGTCAATGCAGCCAATGCAGTCAATGCAGCCAGTACAGTCAACAGGTTCAAAGAGGGCAATGCCAGTTAATGCAGAACAGTTTGTCTCGCCACCTCAACCCCAAGAACTCACCCGATGCCCCCCACCTGCCCATCCACTTGCCTCTTCAATCCCTATACGTGCATCTCTAGACCCTCCAAGTGCATCCCTAGACCCTCCACGTGCCTTTCCAGTCCCTCCACGTGCCTCTCCAGTCCCTCCACGTGCCTCTCTAGTCCCTCCACGTGCCTCTCCACTCCCTCCACGTGCCTCTCTAGTCCCTCCACGTGCCTCTCCAGTACCTCCACGTGCCTCTCTAGTCCCTCCACGTGCCTCTCTAGTCCCTCCACGTGCCTCTCCAGTCCCTCCAAGTGCCTCTCTAGTCCCTTCACGTGCCTCTCCAGTCCCTACATTCGCCTCTCCAGTCCCCCCAGTGCTCCCTCCTATCCTTCACCCAGTTGCCCCCTCGGTTATCCATCCCAATGAGCCTTCCCAGCCCCAGGCACAGGCTCGGCCCAGGGCTGATCTATCGCTAGTGGAAGTACAGGCTTCTAAGTCGAGTGGTTATGCTGACCTGTCAACATTGGATCGCAATGCTGACCTGTCAACACTGGATCATGGTGCTGACATGTCCATGCTGCAGGTGTCATGCCGAGCAATATTTGATTCGCAGAGGAATGAGGACCTTGGGGCTTCACGTCAGCTCATCTTATTAGTCGAGCAGCAGCAGCAGCAGCAGCAGCAGCAGCAGCAGCAGCAGCAGCAACAACAACAACAACAGCAATGGCAGCAGCATCAACAGCAGTGGAAGCAGCAAGAGCAGCAACAGCAACCACAACAGCAGGACCAGCAACTTCAGCAGCAACCGCAGCAGCAGCAGCAGCAGTTAGAGCTGCAAGTGTGGTCAGAGAGGCAGAAGGTACAGCAGGTTCACGCACCATACCAGCAGCCAGGGCAGCAGCAGCACGGTTGGCAGCAGCATTTAAGTCAGCAGAAGCACGGTCAGCAGCAGCAGCAGCAGCGGTAGCAGCAGCAGCAGCGGCAGCAGCAGCAACAGGGGCAACATTTTACGCAGAAGCAGCAACAGGGGCAGCAATTTACGCAGCAGCAGCAACAGCAGCAGCAGCAGCAGCAGAGACAGCAACACCAGCGCCAACAGCAACAGCAGCACCAGGTGCAAGAGCAGGTGCAGCAGCAACAACAGGTGCAGCAGCAGGTGCAAAAGCTGGTTCAACGGCAGAAACTGCAGCATTTTCAGCAACAGGCATCCAGCCAGGTGAACCCACCACCCGTCCACCGACAGCAATTCACCTGGGCTAATCAACAATCCACCTGGGGTAACAACCCTGTGTCAGCCTCCCATGCAGCAACCACTACTGATCCTCCATCCCAACACCATGGATTGACCCAAGGATGTCCTCCCCAGTCAACGCTATCAGCCACTGAGCCCCTAGAGTCAACCCTAGAGTCAACTGACATTCCACCACCACATCATAGCTGGAACACCAGAGTGGACCTTGAGTCAACCCAACGGCCAACTGACCTTCCACCCCAGAATAGAAATTTCAACCCTCAAGTGGCCATTGAGTCAACCCTAGCGTCAGCCGACCTTCCACCCCAGCATCAAATCATGAGCCATCATGTGGCCCTTAGGTCTAACCTAGATTCAAATGACGTTCTACCACCCCATCACAGCTGGAACACCGGGACAGCCGATGAGCCGGCCCAATGGTCAACTGTCTTTCCACCCCAGGATCACAACTTGAGCCCTCAAGTGGGCCTTGGGTCAACCCTAGAGTCATCTGACCCTCCACCTTTCCACCACAGCCTCCCAGCCCCCCACTGCAGCCTCCCAGCCCCCCATCACAGCCTTCCAACCCCCCACCACAGCCTCCCAGCCCCCCACCACAGCCTTGCACCCCCCCACCACAGCCTTATTCACGGGGATCCTGAGGATGGCACAGAGGCAGGCGGAAACATCTCTCTTGAGGAGCTCTTTCCGGAACTGCAAGATGAGTTTTAGAGGTCTGCGCGGCTGTTACCCATTTAGGATTGCCACGGAAACATGGAAATTTGACAAGAGAATCTCAAGGCTTGTGAGGTATTAAAGATCTAGGTTAAGATTTACCTAATAGGTGCTTGCTAGCCTCAGGCCTGCAATCAGACAAGGTCTTTCATGTCATCTGTTGCTTAGCTGGTCGAAAATAATGTTAGCAAGTAGTCTAGGCCTCAGATATAATGTGCTCATTTCTTTGTTCATTTGTGCTTCTCGTAAATAGGTACCGCCTCTTGGTACCACTGTACTATGTAGCTTGTTTGCTTTCCTCTAATACACTATTGATTCCAACACATTTTGACAAGTGAACCATCGGTCTTCAAGCTGACCCGGGGAGCTGATACCTTGAAGCAAAGCTGCAGAGCTACTGGTATGCAATAATCCATCCGATGCCCAGCCCAAGGCGATCAATCCAAGCAGCACCGTCCAGCCATCAAAGTAGCAGCAGCAGCTGTGTGATGGCATAGGATGGTGTGTTTAAGAAATGCTACACTCGCATGGCAAAAATTTAACCGTAATACACTAATATTACCTGCTCAGATTTGGGTTGGTCATATTCAACCCCCTAAACATCCATTTGTTCCATGGCTCAAAACCAAATCGAAAGAGAAAACCGAATCAAAACATATATTGTTATGTCTACCCGTGGAGTGTGTGTTGGCCTGGAAAACTTGCCATTTTTTATTACCACTCACAACATTCTTCATGATCCGGTAAGGTACGGTATATACTCAAAGTGATTGAGTACGGTAGGTCAGAGGCCACTTATCCTCCACCCACATCTTTCATTCTACGGTTGCTTAAGTCCAATTTCTTTTTCCCTTACCCACTCGTCTAGCCCCTATTTCGACTACATATGAAAGCCTACTGTCATGTAGATTTGCAGTGCTTGCAACCAGGGCCCAAAATTGGTTATTTGGGACCCTTGCATATCAAGGTCCCAAAAAGGCTTTGCTTGACGTACAATCACACAATCCAAACTAGAGTTTTCAACGAACGCACTTAGAATGAAAAGGCACTTTCATGCATGCCCTGATGTTACAAGGAAATGCTGCCATGAGCAACAAAATGCCGGCGCTGGGATTCGAACCCGTGAGCTTCAATCTGTCTTGGAAGTGTCACAATTGGATCCAATTACAATGGGGGCCAACAGGAAGGAAGGGAAAGGCGGAAGGGAGCAGACGGACAAGATGAAGATGGCATATGAGAGAATAAGCGAGGCCACTTCAAGGGGCACTGCTACAAATGCAACGGCACTGCGGCAGCAATGGCGAGGAATGACATGGTGGCAGCAACACAGCCATGGGAAGCTATGGCACGGCAGCTGCAATGGCATGCAATGGCACGGGGGCTGCAGCAGCATGCAACCGTACAAGGGCTGTTGCGGCATGCAACGGTACAGGTGGCTGCACCAGCACACAATGGTACGTCGGTTGCATTGGCATGTAACGGCATGGCGGCTGCAACAGCATGTAATGGCACGGTGGCTGCAACGGGGTGCAACGGCATGGCGGCTACCGTGGCATGCAATGGCATGACTAACGTGGTTGCTGAGGTGGCATTAAGCGAGCCGAAAGCGAATGAAAAAGCGGCCACCCTCACAACATATGTTGTGGAGACCAAGGCGACGCTCAACCTGTGGCACGCTCACCTTCCAAATGAACATGTTCGTGTGGTAAAGTGAACAGCCACATGTGGTGGCGTGCTAGGCATCGACGTGGAGAAAGGAGGTGAGGATACGACGAGCGCCTCCTCTCAAGAAGCCAAACTCACTCATTTAACTCTTCCGCTACATGACGAGTGAGGGGAGGAGGTTCTTGGGATCCATGGCTCTGAGAAGAATCAGCCGCCGCCACGTACCATCATCATGCTCCCGGTGTCGTCCGTGCAAGGGGGCGAGCAATCGCTTGATCGTTCTGTTGAGCCTGTGGGCAGCAAGGCAACCATGGCTCCACCTTTTCCCTGTCCATCCTTAGGTGATGGTTTCCCACCCATGGGACCAGAGTTTGGTCCCTCTACAATGAACAAAGTGCAGCTGATGAAGACAAGGAAGGGGAGACAGCGACCTGCAATCGGTGGCAGCCCATGAAAATAACCCCATACCCACAGTTCCGCCCCTCCAGCCCCCTACTCTACTTTCATGTTATTCTATTAGGTCCAACAAGGGGTTGCTACTTGCACTTTCCTGCATCAGCCATGACGTCCCCGGATGCGGATGATATGGCGTTCCTTGTTGGGGATGACTCCGACACAGACAGCGACGACACGAATTAGAGTACACAGACAAGGATGCAGTGGAGGAAGGGGCGGGGAGGTGTCATCATTGACCTGGCAGCAGCACTCACCAGACCTGAAGGCAAGGAGTGGTGGGAAGCTATGGGGGACGAGATGGAGATCCTCATGAGCAAGACATGGGGAAGTTGGTTGTACTTCCCAAAGGTTGCAAGGTAGTCATCGTCAAGTGGTTGTTGAAAAAAAAATGCAACCTGATGGTACTGTGGAGATTACAAGGCCCGGCTCATAAAAAAATATCTCAGCCAACGCTTCGGCATTGGCTATGACGATGCCTTTGACCGGTTGGCAACTACACCAACATCCGAGTGCTCTTGTCAACTGTTTTAGAAATGGACCTAGATTTTGAACAGCTTCATGTGAAGAAGGGATTTCTTTGCGGCACCATTGACCATGAGCTCCGTTGCACCCTCTCCTATTGTAATGCCTCATAGGGCACGGGGTTGCTATTCAAGGGGGAATCGAAGAGCTTAACCCTCATGGGGTACGCTGATGCCGATGATGTGTCCACGGGAGGCTACCTCTTCACACTTGACGGAGCTGCCATCTCCTGGCAAGCCAAGAAGCTGCAGGGTGCGACCAAGCTCTCCTCCACCAGGTGTGACCAAGCTCTCCTCCACCGGGTGCGACCAAGCTCTCCTCCACTGAGAGCAAGCTTGTGACTGCGGAGGAGGCGGGCAAGGAGGGGCTCATGTTGAGGTTCCTACTATGAGAGTTTCAACTACTCAAGAAGTGTGTCCTCACCACCCTATACATGGACTACATGACTCCCTTACAGCTCAGCCAGAAAAAACAAGTTGGATGGGTGCATGAAGCATGTTGACCGTCGCCATATGCGGCCTGCAGGGCAAGGTGCGTATGAAGAAGTTCGAGTTGTAGCACATCCTTACGACAGCCAGCACTCTTCTTTACAAAGAAACTTGACAAAGAAGCCTTCGACCGATGCTCTGAAATAGCTGGCTGGTTCAGCATGCCCCTAAAGCAAAGGGGCGTCTTAGAAGGAAATGGTGTTGTGAGCAACAGAATGTTACTGAGATTCAAACCTTGTGACCTTCAATCTATCCTGAAAGTGTCCGATGACAGATTTGGGATGGTTTCTACTAAGCCTCTGGTTATGGTGCACGCGACATTAGAAATG